ATGGTCATTAATAACTTCCGGCAATATTTTCGATCCAGGCTTCTTTGACCAGCTCAAAATTTGCATCCTTCCTACAATTTTTCCGATTTTCGTGCCGATTCCTAGACCAAATCAGATCTGCTTCCACATCTGATAGTTGCGGTGCGGACGTCATTATTTTGATCCTCTTTACTCGATTTATTCTAACTGTCCACTTCATATTACACTTCCATTGTAATTTAAATAAGTTTCTTCGAAAAATGAGGTTATGTCCGCTATTTTTATCACTTAATGTTTAAGCATGTTCTAATTATGGCACGATTATGAAATATGTTTTTTTTCTTAAATTCACTATATAATTTTCGCAGGCCGCGTTAGCCGAGTGGTTAGCACTGCGTACTGCAATTTGGTAGGCTCAGGTTCAAGTCCTGGTGTCGTATTAACATACTAAAAGTTGCATAAAATTAATTTAAAAAAATTACGGTCACCCTTCGGCAGGGAATGTCAACCTCTCCGAGTATACTTCGGACATGAAAAAAGGTTGCTCATAAAAAACCCATCAGCCGTTCGGAGGCGGCTTAGTATTAACTTTAGTTCCTACATTTGTTGGAAAAAACATCAAGACACTAAACCACAATATGGAAGAAGAAAATCGCTTCAGCGGTTACAAAGCGCCAATTATATGTTACATAATATACAGACACATAACTCACATCACAGATCACATTTCGCAGAGACGAGTCAAGTTTTCAAAGGCTCTAATCAGCACACTCTGCCAACGACGATTTAATGCTGCTCCAGCTTTTGACTTTGTTGCTGACTATCGTCATCACTAAGGCCTTTTTTGTATTTTTGGCAACTCTCTGCACTTCGACGAAAGCCAAGCGAAAAACGGTACGTCTTCCTGGGAAAAAGTCAATGGCGAAACGGCGAGTTATTGACATTTGCTACGAACATTTCTGCTATCACTATTCTGCCTCTCAGTACATATGGACACATGCATACGTGTATATGCACGCTGACGTTGGGAATGCTGCGTTTGTAATTTCTTTTTATGTCGCTCTTTATAGACGAGTGTTTGTTTTTTTTTTTTTTTTGTTTTTGCACTCGTCATTTCAGCAACCGTTCTGAGCGCGCGGACGTAAGCCGCATATGATGGCAATTTGTCGGCATTGGCATCAAGAGCTCGTCAAGAGCGGTCAGACAACCAGACCAACTGTGTAATGTGGCGACGTTCTCTTTTCACTGGGTCCCTTTATACGTGTTCTTAACCCATCACGGCTAACAGGTTACGAATGTACACCATTTTGGCTGAAATTGTATTTACTGTGCTTTATTTGCTTTTGTATTGTTGTTGTTATTGTTGTTGATGTTGTTGCATTGTATACAGCATTAACAGTTACTTTCACACTTTCAGCTCCAAAAATATTTGTGCGCTCGTCTTTTCTGCACGTCGCACAGTGGCGGCCCTTTGTTTGTGTGTGTGTATTTTATTTGGGTCCATCAACACAGACCAGCCATTTCGGCTTATTGTTATAGCCAACCCATATTGTTGTTTGCTTAAATTGTTGTTGTTGTTTTTTTTTGTATTTTATGTTATAGACCATTTTTTGTTTTAACCAACACAAAATTGGCTTTCTGCGCTATTTTCGTTGAAGGTTTTTTTTTTTATCTTTTTAATATTTCCTGGAAAGAAACTACTTGACTGTTGCAACAAATTGTCTGCCAACTAAAGAGATACGTCACACATACATACAGAGATCGTTAGCTGTTTGGCATAAATTCCAATTCTTTAACGAGTGTAGAAACATCCTTTACGCCTGTGTTTTTGCTTCGTTTACTTATTTAAATTACGGTTTTTTTTACAAAAAAAAAAAAGTTTCTCTGATTTGCTCTACTTCATTGCACACATCCTTCGAGTGAAATACTTTTGCCTCATTTTACTTTGTGCATTTTTGCCTCATTTTAGCATTTCTATATTTTTTAGTTTTTTAATTTGTACACATATATACATATGCACATATATACTTCTCATTCTAGTCTGGCAAAACTCTTACTTTAACTACCAAAATATAATATAAATAAAATGCAATTTCCTTAATGGATGTCAACAGTGTTGGCAAGCGCGCTAAGGACGAAAAATACCAAAACCTATTTTTGATGTTGAGAAAAAAAAAAAGAAAAGATTGTGTACAAAAAGTGAAGTGACAGACATGAAGATTTGTATATGACAAGTTTTTAATTTATTAAGTATCTAGCTTTGCAATGGAATTTTAAAAATATCAGCAGAATACTTAAATAATTAAGTTAAACAATAATAATCCTAATAATCACAGTTTTAATTTTACCTAGCAACAGAACAAATTAGATTTTAATTGTGTCAAAATTATATTAATTATTTACATAACGAGAGGATTTAAAAAGGTTCGGCCAGCTGATTCTGGTATGAGAAAACACCTTTTCAGCTGAGGATAGTTCAGACGAAATTCCTTCACTAGCGCAAATAGAAATTCGCCATATGATTCTCTTCCAAATAATGCCACAAATTTAGAGCCTTCTTCTATAATTCCGAATTCACGAAGACCCACGATTGACACAAGAAAAGATTGGTAACGAATTTGGCTTGAATGCCAAGGCTGTATCATTTGAGATACACGAAGAAATTTGCTCGATGGCTACCACGAGTTTTAAATGAGGCCCGAAAAGAGGCTCGAGTGCCTCAATTTGCTCAATTTTTCCTAAACAAATTCGAAACTGGTCAGCGTAGCTACTTTAGTAAAGTCGTTACTGGTAACAAATCTTGGTTCTATAAGTACGCGCCAGAAAGCAAGCAGCAGTTCGTGGTATGAAATCTAACAGCTGCAAATCCAGTGAATACAGTGGTTGATCGATGGTATTGAATGAGATTTTGGTCTAAAAATAGTCCGCAACTACAGCTCGGTGCGATGGTGCATTATCGTAATGAAAAATCTAGAATTGTTAGCCCACAATACCGGCCGTATGGGACGGATTTTTTCTGGCAAACGCCTCAAAACGCTCAAATACTCTTTATTACCTCTCTGTCTCGCGAATAGAAAAAAACTATTTCCGGAAAATTGTTGGTCTTCATGTACTTGTACATATGTTTGCCCGTGAAGGTTTCCCATCTAAGCGAGATCGCATAAGGTCTGAAAAAAACCCCACGTCTCGTTTCTAAGATTTATTTTTTTTCTCACTTGGGTAAAACTGGCACATGCACGTAAGCGCACGCTATGGAGTTCCAGGGTCCTTAGACACGTAAATTCCAACGCGCTTGCCTTACTATAAACTTCTAAACTTCGAAATTTTCTAAATCTTTATATATTAATACGAACCATAAATAAGTTTGTTTTTGAGCATAGAGTATAGACCGCTCTGGTGCATTTGCAAGAAACGAAAGAAGTTTTTTTTTTATATATTTAACTGGCGTTTACTCGTTTATACGCATATATTTTGAATGTTGCTGAAAAATATTGCACATATGCATATTTGGCTTCATAAATCAGAACTCAGCGTAAATATTTTCGAAACAAGTTGGTTAATTATCACATATTTTAAGAGATAACTAACCTTTAGTTTCCACACTATAGACTATTTGTTAGGAAAAGTTCATAAATAATACTGATTATCCTTTTTGTAGGCAATTTGAAACCCATATAAACCACTTTTTTAAACATTTAAAAAGAAAACAAAACCAAATTGTGCCACTTAAGTCTAAGATTTTTGCATTATTTATTTAAAAGAGAAACAATTAATAATTTTTGTTCCACTTTTGTGCATGCTAAAATACTGGCTGCCAGGGGCTTCGGCTTGTCTTGACATTTAAGCAAGAGTTTATGCAATATATTTAGTTGCTTAAAATTTATTTTAATAAAACAAAATTTATCTGTGTGTTGCAAGTTTGAATTTATATTATCTGCTCGTATACAATGCATACATAACTCAGTTTGGGGATATTCTGAGGGTGGATAGAAGCAAACGGGACACATTTTTCATATCAGATATCGCTTATAAATAGCTTATGAACAAAAATGATAACTTAAAGAAAGTAAAGAAAATATTATTTATATTAGAAACTATGCAATAAAAAAATTTTGTTTGATATATTTTCTTGAGTGAAATCGTCCTGAGCACTAATCAATATGAGAATACCCTCTGTCTTTGTTCTTGTGCGCCTTTAATTTTATATAATGATGCAAACATTCTTGGGTGAAATCAACTCAAAATCAGCTCAAAATTATCGATATAATTAAGCAGATATTGGATCTTCAAGCAGATATTGCAACCCACACTTTTGCAGTTCACCAACATATCTTCGACTAAATGTCTGTAGTTATCTGCCTTGAAGTTAGGAAACGAGTTTTGTGTACAAACGACAAAAGATTTCATAGAAGCTTTAAAACCAGTAAAAATTCTAATAAATTGACGTATCTTAGATCCATTGAAAATTAAAGCATTTAATTTGCTTTTGAGAGCGGAACTGGATGCATCAACGATTTTGGTCGAAAGATTTGGCGAATTTCGGCATGAGCCCCAGTTTTATGTACTCATTCCGTACTGGCTTTCAGACGTTCAGGGTTCCAGTGCTGTGCTGGAAAAAAACATCCATAGTTATAGGAAATAATTCTAATATTCGTAGCCCCTCGGCAAAGAGGGTCGGTCCCTACAAGTGTGTTTCCCTTCCAGGTGTTTAAAATAATATCAAAACGCACACCCACACCAAAAATCAGATGAGAAGCTAGGATGAAAATCACTTTGCGCTCACGTCTAAGGCAAATCATGCAAACAATGTGAGACACCCACGCTTTATTATATGGTATATGTCCAAAATATTGTTGCAACGTTCTAACCTGGATTGATTTCGAACTAAACCTAGAAAAGTTGAAATAAGAATTGTAACGCTTTGCCTTTAGGTTTGAATTCCTGAAGCATTTTTTTCTTCATTTCATTGTCTAAATGTATTTTGCAATATTTTTTCAAGTTTTTCTTTTTCTCACTTTTAGGCTCGCCACCGCCCACAGTGACTTGGCTCATGAATGGTCAAATACAGAATAGTGTGGTGGATTACACATATGATAGCACCATCAACAGCAAATTAGTCGTGCGAAACTTGTCACGCATTCACCAGCATGCGGTGTACACGTGTCAAGCGAGCAATTTCCACAAGAAATATGTCGCCACCAACATAACAATTGAATTGTATTGTAAGTATATGATGACATCAATTAAGTTTTAAGAAAAATAAAATATATAGGGTTGCCCATTTCGGGGTGATAGCAGTAAATGTTAAATAAAATACAATAGAAAAATGGATCCATCAATAACTGCACAACTAATCAACGACTATGTCAGCTAAAAATATTATGGGACAAGAGCATCATCGTTTTACACGTTCCAACTCAAATATCGCTACTGCAAGTGAAGATGTGCGACCGCAGAAGTCGAATGGTTAGCATATCCTGGCGCCACCAACATCCAAAAAGTTATGGAAAATTAATTTAAATAAAAAATTAAATTAAATTTTCGAATTGCGGTCGCCCCTCGGCAGAGAATGTTCACCGTTCCGAATGTATTTCGGACATGATACAAAGGCTGCTCTTAAATAATCATTGGCCGTTCGGTGGCGGCTTAGTATAAACTATAAGTCCCTTCATCTGGAAAAACATAAAGACGCAAAACCACGAAATGTCGGAGGAGCTCAGCCGAAAAACCGCTTTAGCGGTTACAAAACGCCAATTGTATGTATATAAGTGAAAATGTAGCCGGTATCCAAGTGTGTTTATTTCTCGACGTTCTCCAGAGCTGGAGCTCTTTTGGGGCAGATTATGGCAAATTTTGCACTTGGACTGACTCCTATGTACGTGCATATGAAATCCAGCATGCCGTACACACAGGGATAGGGAGCTTGAATAACAAGCGAGAGAAAGCTAATAACTCAAATAATTAAGAGAGGCCATCGCACTCAAAAACCTTTATTGTTTGGTGTACTCTTCAATCCGGAGGTGTGAATGGACCTTACTTCTGTGAAAAAGACAATATTGAGACTGTTACTGTATTTTAGAAAGCTTTGGTCGTAAGATAATTGTATTTTTTTAACCGTAATTGTAGAACACGACCTGCAATATGTGTTGTCAATAAGATCAACACGAACAAATACGAGTATGTCTTGATTACCGGGCGCGTAATCTCTCGTCTTGATCATCGTCCGATTCGACACCGTTGTATACTTCTTTGCGATGTTTCGCGAATAATCATTTTAGCTCTTGAACACTTGAAAACCAACATTCGTCAAGTTATGCCTGATTTGCCACCCAATCTGTGACAAAAAATGGTCGAAAATAATCTCAAATGGATCGAAGTTTGAAAAAATTTGCAAGGCGGCCATGAGAATAGTAATGTGCTTTATATATAATGCCAGGGTTCAAACTTTCTAATAAAAGAAATTGTTTCGGAAAAAATATATTCTCAAACACTTCATCTCTGCTTATTTTCAAAACCGCAAAATAAGATCTCTATAGGAATATAAATAATATTTTTCTATATTTACATTTATAATCTTTCAGATTATTTTAAATGTACAATTGTATGCAATAAGAGCCTAGAATATAAATTTAAATCAGCTTCTATACACCTGTATTAATAAATAATAATTAAAAGTTTCCCCTCATATGAAATTCATTTTCAATGAGAGATAAATGATATTGCAGATACTAAAAGAAACTAAAATTATTGCTAAAATTCATTAATTACTCAAATTTATGCAAAGGAAAAGAAGAGAATAAATCTATAAAATATTGTTCTTTGAATTTAAATGAATTTTATCCGTAAAAAGAAGAAAAATAATGAATGAATTCTCATAAAATCTAAATTCAAAACCAAAGTTCTACTATTTTTAAAAATCTTTCAATTCAATAATTTAAAATTTAATTCTTTTCATCGAAATATATATGTATAAATGTATAATATATATGTATGAATTTATACAAAAGAGATGTGTATGCCTCAAACATTATTACATATGTAATATAAGTTAGCAAATAAAACCATATAAATTTAATGTGAAATGAAATTGTGATATTATTTTTGATGCTTAACCCAAAAAATGTATATTTTTGCTTAATAATATACCAAAAAAGAAAATTTCCAATAAAAAATTAAATGTATTTAAGTTGAAAACCGCAATTCCAATAATATTTAATTAAATTAAATGTAAAAGAAATGTATAAAACATTTTTTTTTTTAGAAAATCAATTTCAAATATTTTTTTTTCTAATAATACGTAGGTAACTTTTTATTGAATTTAGATATTTTTAATTTAAATTCCATAGTTCACTTTTTGACGAAGTTGCCTTTAAAGTGGGCTGAGGGTAATGGATTGTTTGGTAATCAACCGTTTGATCTTGCGCCGTTTTCAGCTCTGATTAATTGCAAAATTATACTGCTCCTTTTTTTAGAAGCCAAAAGAAAGCCAGCCATTTTTAAACCCTTAACTGTTCCCATATTTTACATTTATTTCAACTATCCTGCACTTTCAAGATTTTTGATGAATTATTAAAAAGTTTAGGTGTACTGTCATCCCGACGGCAGATGGCGCCCTTAAATATTAGCCAATTTAGAACGGTCTAATTTGATTTCCACATTCATTTTGGTTTACCAAGGTAGATATACTAACCAGTAGTTTGATTTCTTGAAAATAGCCTCATCATAAATTACGCATAGGTTCTTCCGAGCTGATCTTAGAAATGCCGACAACTCTGACTTTTTTATCCGCCATCATTTTAGTTTTAAATTAAAATCTGTATATTCAAATATCTATTTAAAATTTTCGAAATGAAAACCACTTCTATTGCAGTTTTTCAAACCAATATGCCCAATACGGACGGACCTAGAGTTTATACTAAACCGAGGAGTGACCGCAGCTAGAAAATCTCTGCATTAGAAGCATATTTTTTGTGTCTGTTAAGGATTGTTAACACTTACCTTAATTGGTTTATGCTTTCGTAATTTATGTACTATTTGGTTGCCGCAATGTAATATTGGTTTGTTTATTTATTTTTTTAGCTGGAAGGTTACTGAATATAATTCTGTTGATTGCCTGTTTTGTCGACTTATGGCCGTCTACCTGCCTACACCTCAATTTATTTACCTGCCAATCTTGTTTATATTCCAAATACAACATTGAATATGAATATGAGTAGAAAAATGCCAGCTTATAACTCATGGCACATATGCAATTGCTTTTGTTTGTTATTGTATAAATGATTAATGTCGATAAGTTATATAAATTGCCAAAGTACATATTGAATGGATAAATGGCAGAGTATTTTGGTATAATAGTTCTAACAAAATGAGGCATACAATGCTGTGGGTGGTGGTGAGTTTGTGATTGAAATTTACTTTTATGAAAAATATTTTCATTACATGGTTACTTATGTATGTTTGTCTGCAATATGTACATTTATCGATTTCACTATGAGTAATAAAAATTTTGCAAATTTCGCAAAACTTAAAAATTTATATAAATCTGAAGCAATTGATTTCACATATTTTTCTGTATTTTTCTTTTCAAACTTAGTTTCCATCAATAATCTATCCATTTGTGAATTCATTTTTGATCTCGAAGAATATTTCTTAAAATAGAGTCCTTAAATCCTAGACATCGTTAGAATAATACAAAAATACTCCTATCGTAATCGATATCATATAACTTCACAAAATTATAAGCATTGTTGAAAGCGCGAAAATTTATCTTTTATACCCAAAATAAACTAATAAATAATACTCATTGGTATATATATGTATATAAGCCGGTATCACATTTAACGGTCAAATTCACACGGTTTTATTTGGAAGCACTTTTTTTTTTGGCATTTTAATTAAATATTTTAAAATTTAATGAAACGCTAATGTGAAAACTAATGCCGCAACCACGGCAACCATCACAATCGCTGGGATTTTGTAACGCTTACTAAGCGCATTAAGGACTTTCAGTATGTAAAAAGTTTAACGAGCAACAAATTTTCGCATGGTGTCACTACACATTGAAATTTGTTTGAAAATTTGAAAATTAATTACATTTTTCATGTAGCCGACGAAGTAGGTTGACTGGAGGTACAAAAGTATGTTTTGTAATATGTATTAATATGCGTGCACGCATACGCGTGTAATCATGCGTTAAATAAATTTATTACAAAAATTAAAAAACCTTGTAAAAATAAAAGTAATATGCCATATATTAAATGGAATGGATTAAAAGAGTTTATAATAATAATACGGATAGATATGGAAACCGATATATCTACAAATGCAAATGTGAGCTGTTAAGTGGTGTTGTCCGCGTTTGGAAAAAGGTATTATTTGTACGAAATGCATTTAATACAGCACTGAATATTATCTACTATTATATATCTTGTTAATTACAATTTAAAATATTTTATTTTATTTTTTTAATTTGATTTATATTGTTTTATTTATTTTCTTCTCTTTTATGTTACTTTAATTCAATTTATTTTGTTTTATATATTTTATTTTCATTTCTGTTATTTTATTTTATTCTCTTTCATTTTTTATTCTATATTTTTTAATTTAATTTAATTTTATTTTATTTTATTTTATTTTATTTTATTTTATTTTATTTTATTTTATTTTATTTTATTTTATTTTATATTATTTTATTTTTTATTTTTCGCAACTTTATTTATATTATTTTATTAATTTTGTTATTTTTTATTTTTTTTTATTTTAGTTTAAATTATATTATTTATTTAATTATTTTTCATTTGAACTTTTTTTTAATTAAATTGGTTTTTTTTTAATTTATTTTATTTAATTCATTTTATTTTATTTTGTTTTCTTATTTTTTTAAATTTTTTTATTTTAAATTAATTTAATTTAATTTTTTTTTACTTATTTTTTCTGTTTTATATATTTTTATTTTGCCTTATTATATTATATTTTATTTTCTTATTTAATTCTATTTTTTTATTTATTTTAATTTTATTTAACTTAAATAAATTTTTTTTTTAATTTTTTTGTTTTATTTTTATTTTATTTCATTTCTTAATTTTATTTTATTTTATTTTGTTTTTTTTTTTTTGTTTTATTTTATTTTATTTTACTTCATTATATTTTATTATGAATATATTATTTTATTTAGTTAAATTTAATTTTTTTAATTTAATTTTTTTATTTTGATTCATTTTATTTTATTTTGCTGTATTATATTATATTTTTTTATTCTTTTTGTTTTTATTTTAAATTTTTTTTTTAATATTTTATTAAATTTTTTTATTTATTTTAATTCTATTTAATTTAATTTTTTATTTAATTTTTTTGTTTTTTTTTTATTTTTCTTATTATATTATATTTTAGTCTCTTTTTAATTCTTTTTTTGTTTATTTTAATTTTATTTAACTTAGTTCAATTTTTATTTTTTAATTTTTTTGTTTTCTTTTTATTTTATTTTCTTTATTTTGTTTTATTTTGTCTTTTTTTATTTTATTTTGATTTATTGTATTTTATTTTAGCTTGTTTTATTTTGTCTTATTTTATTTTATTTTATTTTATTTTATTTTATCTTACTTCATTATATTTTATTATGAACATATTAATTTATTTAGTTAAATTTATTTTTTTGTTTTGTTTCTTATTCATTTTTTTTTTGTTTTTTTTAGTATATTTAAATTTATTTGTTTTATTTTATTTTATTTTATTTTATTTTTTTTTTTTTGTATTTGACTTATTTTATTTTATTTAGTTTAATTTAATTTTTGTTTATTTTATTTCTTTGTTTTGTTTAATTTATTTATATTTTATATTACTCAAGTAAAACAAAAACACAAAAAAAAAAACATTTAGCCAGGAACTATTAATCAGATAGCCATTCGTACATCGCTCAAGGGGTCGTTAGGTTGAAAATGTGAAAAAGAAAAATTAAATAAACTAAAAAAAAAATAAACCATGTCAGTAGTTTGGGCCCGGATTAAAAAACATTTTCACTCAAACAACAATAATCTAATCAAAATAAAACTATTACATACAAGGCTTTCCTGATATATTCGAGCTTTACAACAAAGAATTAAAGTTTTCAGTATGTGGTTCCTTTTGGCTTCATTTGTTTTCGAGCCCAAAACTGTCTGCTGTATTGTTGGACACACAGCCATGGGCGCCTTAATTCTATGTATTAAAACGTCAATATTCGTAATTATTTATTCTATTTTTTCGCTTGTTTCCTTTAGTGGCAGCCTACTTTTGTTTGTATTGTAGCACAATTAATAGCGACAACGTAGAGATTTTCACATACACACATAAAATTAATAATAAGTGTAATTAATTGAATCATTGTTGTATAAGCTTATTAATTAATGGATGGAAAGCGTGGAATAAAAGATCAAAGGATTTATAATAACATATATTTTGTATGTGTATACTGCTGCTTTATAATAATTTCGAATTTAATATAAAAGAAATCATTGTAATCGTGTTTTAGATGAATACTGTTCGCGCTACTTTTTACACGCATAAATGTGTGTTCGGTACTTATGTATTTTAACAACTATAAAAAAAGAAGCTTTCATATATAAATAAGCGTGATTCAGCCAAGAATTGTCATTTACAAGCCAAAAAAAAAGTGATAAACAAATTAATGGCTGAATAAGGATTAATAAATAAGTCTTGCCTTCGGTTGTTGGAAAGTCTTAACCATTTCGTCTGTTAAACGCAACTGTCGAACCAATTATGCTTCATGTTATTTAAAAAAAAAAAGAAAACATTTATAAAAACCGATCGCTAAACAACTACTGTAAATTGGGCGATTAAAACGTGGCTACGTTTCGTGCTTTAAGTGGAGATTATGATGCATATTTGAACAGACCATATCAGTCATAAATTATATTACAACTACGTTCATATAAAGTCCAGCTCGCACAAAAACTGAAGCCAGCTGCCATTCACAACTTTATTGCGAGAGAAAATTCCCGGCCGCGTAATCTCTCGTCTTGGTGAAGTCAACTGGCCACCGAGATCGGGTGATTGGGAACTATTGAAATTTTCTTTGCAAAACTGTGCAAAACAAACAACATTCATCTAATAACGGCTTAAATACCATTCAATATGTACCACAAAGTGTTCGAAAATTGCCTTAAAAGTTCGCAAGGCAGTCGTTCGAATGGTTTGTGATTCTTATTTATATATATTTTATTTAGGTTTATTCTTGAAATCACAAAATGTATAGCCCTGTAGTTAAGCTGGAAACACTTTTTTATTTATCTTTTTATCAGCCTTATTTACTTCAATTGAATACTTTTAAAAGCGCTTTCCAATACAATTGTCTAGATCCTTTTTATTTGAAAAAAAAAAAAAAAAAATTAAATTATTTTGTGAAATAAAGAATCAGAATACATATTATTTCAGATTGAAATTATTCTCAATAAGTATTTGGAATTTTCCATTTATTTATTGCGCATATTTCATATATTTTTATTTGCTTGTAAATCAACCAATTAGTCATTAAAATCGTTTGTAAATTACTATTAATAATATCATAAGTCATAAATATTGTATTACATATGTACATAAATACATATATTATTTCAACGCGTATTTCACAAATTCAAAAAAGCTACAATATATGCCCGAGTGTATTTCCGACATGAAATAATAGTTACTCATACAAATCCATCGACCATTTGGAGGCGGTTTGGTCTCTCGATTTGTTGGAAAAACATAAACACATACAAAATAAATGGCAGGAAGAGCTCGGCCGAGAAACGCTTCTATTATTATTATTATTATAATAAGGTTGTGTGTATGTGAATAATAGTATAAGAAGTGTAAATCTCTAAGTTTAGCTACTCATGTAGCTATCAGACTACGATTGGTGTAAATATTTATACAAAAGCGTGCTTATTACTTATAAACGCACTCCATGAGGAGGCAAAAAGAGAGCAACTCAGTTGGTCAATGAAGAGTTTAATGAAATATTCCTTATCTTTCGACAAGGAATATCAAAGTTATATGCCTATCTGTGATTGATCCGTTTCAGCTAAATTAGTGTATAAAATAATTAAAATAATTTTTAAATATATCATCATAAAATATATACATAAGAATGATTTTTGGCAATTAAACAATTCTCTTTCCCTATACTTTCAGTAAGACCATTACTAGTGGAGATTTCTTTCAATAATCAACCAATGTCTGCTGATCGTAAATACGAAATTGAATGCCAAGCAATTGGCTCAAGACCACCCTCAAAAATTACTTGGTGGATGGGAAACATGGAATTGTTAGGGCATAGTCAAAAGGTAAATAAACTATTTATATTTATGAAATCTTTTATATAGAAAATCATTAAAATAATTTTCACCAGCCATTCGGATAAGCAAACCCAATCTAAAAATCGAAGCACCAAAGCTCAAGTTCTCTGCTAAGCTGCAATTTTATGACTTCAGCAGTGTCTGTTGTGGTCTTCTCAAAAAAGTGAATTAATTTAGCGCAGAACTGAAAATAAGATACTGGATTTTACATACAGTACATTAACTAAAAATTTAAAAAAGAACTGGAATTTGGTACTTAATCTTTTACTGGTAAATAATTCAAATACCAAAATCCAATTGACACAGGCGAAAAGAGTGATCGTTCGATGGTTTTTGTTGAATTTTTGACCGAAAATTTGTTCACAGTGATAGCCCGCCGTGATTGAGACTAGAAATCCACGCGTTCATCTTCACACATCAGGGCTTTCAATAATATTTTTTATCTGGCGTCTGATAAGCTGACAAGATTTCGGAGTGCAAAACAATGCGATTATCGAAGAAAGTTATCAAAATTACTTCGACTTCGACGTGGTTTTCAGTCTCGACTCACTGGAAAGACGCCATTCTGAGCACTAGTGCTGGTTTTCATTTCAAACTCTTAGACCTCGGTCGCGTTACCACTAACAATGCCTGCATGAAAATGTATTGAAGACGTTAAATGCTGTCCTCATCCGCTCATCTGAACCCAGCGTCGCAAAATTCCGTTTCCGATGTAAATCTTTTCTTTTGGAGTCAGTATAAATTGTAAGGCGAGCGGTTACCAATGGGTGCTGTCATGTGGTTAATCATCTGTTTGAATTCTAGCTAAGCCGACTCCAGTTTATATATCTAACTTGAAAAAAGCTCCTCATAAGGGTCCACAAGTCCATCGGAGGTATCTTATAATAATCTGTAGTTCCCTCCATTCATTGGAAAAAACTTCAAGCCGCGCAAGCATGAACGCTTTTGAACAAATTTTCCACTCAATTTAATGTCTCCACCATGTTTCGTTATCGAATTATAATTGTTTCCGTATTTTCCTTCAACACCTAGTTCAGGGAGAGCTTAACATTCAAATATATTTATTTAAATTCAGTGTTTTTTAAATTCAAATCTTAAATATCTTATCGAAATCTGTTAGTTGTTAAAGACTTATTTTCCCAATTATTTGAAAAAAGCTTTTTATTTATATTTTAAGGTTTCTGAAGATGGCAATGTGAGCTTTTCGGTTCTCAGTATTACACCAACACGAGCGGATCATGGCAAAGCGTTATCCTGTCGAGCTACAAATGAGTTAGTACGAAACGGCATAAGGGAAACTGCAATGAAACTCAATGTTTTCTGTAAGTCATTAGATGTGGTAATTTATTCAAAAAAATTTATTAATAGTAATTGAAAATATTAAATATATGTATGAGTATGTTATACAGTTAAGATTTTAATTGCATATCTTTACATATGTATATAAATAATATATATTTACAGAACTGAGCATTTTTATAATGTTGCGTATATTTATTTAGTATTAGTATATATTCTTTTTGTTAATTTATCCGTTAATTGAAAATATTTCATATCACAATAAACGTTGAAATATACTTTTACTATAATTATGTATATATGTATTTACTTATGTGTATATATAAAACTTAACATAATGACATATTCGCGCTACACCCAATTTTGTTTTAAAAATATATATATTTATACACATGCGTATATTTAAGTAAGTTGCTGTAATTTATATGCAAAACAATACATAACTATATATGAACAGACATACATATTCTCTTCAACATTGAGACTATAAGACACTTTGTATTAAACACATATATGTGCCGAGATGAAGCACTCAACTTGATTGGCTATAAAATGCATTGTTATGGCGCTGCGAAGTCGTTGTCTTTTATATCGCTTAGAGAATCTGAAAAAAAAACGCAAACACAAGAAAAACGGCGAAATTTTCCTGCCGCAGCAGTGACTGAAAAAAGTCTCAAATTGTTGGGATCTCTAAAGAAGCTGCGACAACAAAATACTTGTGAAGATTACTATATTGCGGTATATAAGTATTTATCCATATGTATCTACATATCTACACTTTTGTGTATGGCAAATTTTCAATTTTCCGCCACAAAATATTTTGTACAGTTTTAAAATTACAGTAGTTAGCAAGAAGCGCTCGTTTACGAAATTCATTTGAAAAAAAACCTTAGAAAATATCGCTATTTCATAAATACCCTTTTATTCGTTTATTTTGCTGTTGGTTCAATTATTTTTTACCTTTTCGAGCCTAAAAAAAGGTATGTATGTGCGTGAACACTTGGTATGAAGCAATCGTAATGGATTAGAATATTATTTTTTTTTTAAGAAACCGCTTCTATTATTCAGTGTAGCATACTTTTCGGCGTTCTACACTCTGTATATTCCCTGCAGGGAAAGCAAATAGTTGTTTGTAGCATTTTTATAATTATAAAAATTTTGCCGAATCTTCCCCTTTTCAAGTCCTTTTCTTTTTCAAAATAGCGATATCTTAAAAAATTTCAACTGTCTGACTCTCCGTCAACATTTGACCAGTTTAATACCAGTGCATTTATTCATATTGGGTGTCTGCTCGGTGAAAATAAAAACATTTTTTCCTACAGCGAGATTTGAGCCGCACATCGCAAGCATCTCCCTTAATCATTCGGCCATCGTGCTTCTGTAAGGAGCCTACGCGAAGTGCGCATTAGATGGACAAAAAAAAAAAAAAAACACTGAGAAAAACAAAATTAAAAAAAGACATTTTGCATTCTACTGATGGTCTGCGAACAAATGGCGAACTATTATGATTCCATTCTAAAATGATAGTTTACTTTAGGGATTTTATTCAATTTATATTTTTTATTTTAATTTTAAGCTTTTCTCTATTGGGATGTCACCAACAAACACCATCACATATGCGGCAAATTGCATGTATATGTATTTAAGTAAGGCTTACTAACTTAACACACGCATATGGATAAGATACATAAGTAAATATATATTTATATAAGCATGTGTTCGCACTTGTCAGCTCGTCTTGTCTTGTCTTCGAGGATATTAAATTAGATAACATTTTCAATTTCCTCGCTCATTTACATGAACATTTTGTTACGCATAAAAGTAAAAGAATAACAAGAAGAAAGAAAAACGAGAACATAAAATAGCTAAAAGCTTCTGCTATATTTAGCGCTCGAATAAGTGGTAAAATAGTTTTTTCCTCTTTTATTTTTATTTTTTATTTTTTTTTGAAAATCATTTCCTTTTTAGTCCACGCATTTAAATATTTGAAAATTTCATGTATTTACTCGTACATATTGCGAGTGATTCAAGCAAAATATTATTGGAAGTTAAATAATGCTGAAAATTTAAGAAATTTTTGAATATAGTACATATGTACAAACATATATGTTAAACTTCAAAATAAAGTAATTCCTTTAAGTTTCAAATAATTGAACAGATTTTTTTCATTGTTTATAAAATAAAGTGAAATATTTTCTTTCATTTTTATATTCACTCACTTGCAGTTATACCAACACTACAATTGGATTTGGGCTCAAACTTGAATCCTGAGGATATCGAAGAAGGCGATGATGTTTATTTCGAGTGCAAAGTGCATGCAAATCCGGCTGCCTACAAAGTTGTGTGGAAACATAATGTAAGTATATTTTGGCAACATGTAAAAATAAAGATTTGTAGCTTTTGGGTATTAAAAACCAAAATGAGTTTACGAGTATATATATAGTAGGTTATCTACGTAGCAAAATTTTGCCTTGAGGGATATGCTCAGACGAAAGTATAACCGATCATTGGAACCTAAACATGCTCTTTAGAATCCACAAAAGGAGGAGCACGACTATTTGCACCGAGAGACAAACCTGCTCGATATCGCAAGTAAGGTTTTATCCAGGTACTAGAGACCACCGTCGACAAAACTACTTACACCTTAACCCTTTTATTACCCGGGGGCCGATATATCTGTAGGCGTCTTCTAGCGCTTTTTATTAGCATTTATACATTTGTTGTTTAAATAATTTTAAATTGAGTACCATTGTTTTATCCTCAATGAGTTTTAGAATAAGATTTCAGGCCTATTTTACTGTTTTCAGGCCTATTTTACTGCTATATTGTAGGCAATGCCTCTCTTTGGTTTTTATGAATATTTTTCAAAAACCTGTGAACTTTCGACCGGCACTAAAAAGATTAAAGTAGTGGTCTCATACCTGGCAAATCCTTAATTACACAGATGTGCATCATATGCACCGAATCTCGGAAAAACGCTCAAGAGAAAAGATGGACATACACCAAAATAAAGATAAAAAAATATTACAAATTCTTTATCTTTTCACATTTATGATTTATAAATCATAAGCTTTTGTGTTTGTTCAATTGAAATCATAAGGATATGAATAAAATAAATATTTGGCTTGTAAAAATTGAAACGGAAAATGAATAAAAGTTTATTATTGGCAAATAGCATTCGCTTAACGCATGAAACGCATGTTGAACTATAAACTTTTAATGAATACAAGGCATATGTGTAAATACTTTTCGGTGGGAATTAATTTGATTTCTACTTTAAAGTGGCATATTCCACTTTTAACAATTTCAAATGAGTTTTTCACATATTCTACTGCAAATAGACACCATGCAGAGATAATAATTTCAATTGCAGCCTCAATAATTGAATTTTCGTAACGACATAGCATTGATTGACCTTTCTGCGGCATTGCATTAGTTACATTTTATGTATGTATATATTACTCATACGTATGCACACACGTATTTATTATTTAACATTTGTAAGAAACTCAATTAAATTATTGTAGTTTTTGTGAAATCTGGCATAAAAACAAGACGAAGGAAATCTAAGAAATGAATTCCAAAATATATTATGTTCATATTTACTTATGTATCTCATCATATGGGCATAAATGTGGGGAATTAACTGTTGTATGCAGTAGCATAAAGTACCCGATTTATGGATGTGGAAGTCAGTTAAGCGGTGATTAACGTCGTTTCTTTTCATACATTTCAGAGCGAATTTATTTATAATAAAACAACTATTAATCCATGACCTTGGTCTAGTAAAAAACAGTCCAATATTTTTGCATTAAATTGTAGGCTTCTTTATCATAGTTAGATTAATCCGATTTATGTCCGGAATGCTTCATATTGCTCGATAACATTTGGCCATTTTGAAGGTAATGTCATAAGAACCCTTCCACAGGTTTCTGCTGAACATCATATTTCACCACAAGAACGTCCATACCATAAGGTGGATACGTAAGAGCAGTACAGGTCCGAGTTAAGAGTTTGGTTATAGGTGAGAAAGCCATAGTGCATGATCCTTGCCTTTTCCGCCAAAAATACAACTAAACTTTCCTTGTCGTCACACCTGGCTTGACCGAACATCGAGCTTCTTTTGTGCATTCAGGCTTTTTCGAGTGGCTCAAAATAGTTTTTTTTTGCAATGCTTAGTTGCTGGTTATTACTCTTTTCGTTCCAATTTTGCTACTATTCCACAAAGATCACATAAATCAATGTATTTGAGTAGTGCATTTTCATTCATTTGGATGGAAATTCCAGTCACTGCCTAATTTACAGACAAATTTTCGAATAAGAGTGTGTGGAAACATTCCTCGTGACAAATTTTCTCCACCCTTATGAAAAATGAAAAATATATTCAAAATCCTGAATGTAAAAAAAATTATTCTACCCAACACTGTTAGATAGTGATAGAGGTATCATCTGGGCGGTGTAAGAACTTAAGCTGCCTCTGAGAGCTGAAGGAGTTTTTTGGAGACATTTTAGACCCACGACATGCAGCTTTTAATATATCCCACTACCTACACCACTACAGCGGCGGGTATGAAAAATTAAAATTAATTTTTCAACGCCTCTATAATTGGCCTTAGCACTTTCCTTTTGCTTCCTCTAGCCAGTTATTTTCTCATGCTGTTCTATGTACTGTTGCTTTGCTGTTAGTTTTTATTGTCTCTATTGTTAGTTGTGTTGCTGTTGCCACTTGACATAATGCGTTGGTTTGAAAGGCAAAACGAAGCAGATATAAATAAATAAGAGCGCTGACTGTGTAAATGGTAGCGCACAAAAGTATGCTACGCAATTAGTGTACACGACAATACCATTAAAGTAGGGCATGGTGCGGCCAGGGTTATTTATTTGATTCAAAATTCCTTTTTCATTTAAGATTTCATTTTATCTTTAAAAGTTGCTCTCACTTTTTCTAAAGTTCTACAACAAATTAAAAAATTTTATCAAGGCAATTTATATTTATTTACATATTACTGCCTCTATAATATAATACAATATTACTAAATATTATTGCTCTTTTAATCACATAGAATAAAGTCAAATAATAAAAACAAAAAAAAAATAACATTAAATTGAAGCACATATGCAAAAGAAAAAGTACTAAAACAATAAAATATAAAAAATCAAAAACAATATATTATAAAACAAATAAAATAAAGTAACATAAGTGTATATGAAATTAAATAAATTAAGTAAAATTAAATTCAATGTAATAATATAAATAATAGTTGCATAAAATAAAGTAAAATCAACACACTCAAATAATTAATCAAACTGCTATAATTTAAATTAAATGAAAACAAACAAACTGAAAAGCAATAATAAATTTAATTAAAATATATTAAAAATTAAAAAATATTATATGAAAAAAAAATTTAAAAAAATATGCAATAAAAATTAAATAATACAATTTGAAGTAAAATAGAATTAAAGAGAAGTAAATAAAAAATGAATAATAAATTTGAATGAAATAAGATAAAACCAACTAAAATATGTATAACAAAATTTTATTAATTCGATTAGAAAGCTTTTTGGAAAGAGAAATTAATTTTTGAGAACTCGGCAATTTATTGGGCCATAGGTGAAAAATTATTCTAAATCCTGCCCTGCTTATGAGACCAAAAGTTCACATGCTCATTAAAACTTATTTGATATGGTATGTGGGTACGTATTTATGTAGAGATGTGTGTATATTTTTCAGTACGTACACTTCTGAGTAGTTATCTCATGTGTATATATGTATGTGCATGGAACATACTAACAATTTTGATCAAACTAATTGTTAATTTAATTTGCGTGCACGTTAATTGTGCAGCATGAATATTTAATTAAAAAGGTGGCAACCATAGCAGTTAGCTAAACTTGTTAGACTCAACTCAAATAATTTCTGCGACATGCTGACATCACTAACAATGTCGACATGTCAACAATATGTTAATTTGGTTTGTCAGCAGAAAAAAAGGACAACAACACAGATGTAGCTACAAGTTGTAATACAAAAAGTGAGCGAAATACATATAGACACATATATAGTATGCATTTGAAAAAGTGAAAATAATGAAATTAATTAAAATATTCATTAAATAAACTAACAAATTGTTTGGATACGAGACAAAATAATTGTAGAATAGAAAAAAAAAAATTGTTAGACCTTTTATTCAGAAAAAAAAAAACATTTTCTTTAACATTAAAGAGTTCAGTGATGAGAAGCTTGCATTATGTAGTGCAGACTAGTCTTAAAACTACAAAGCGGTAAAGGATGGAAATGAATTGGTTAGCTTAATTGTAAACCTGTGTTGTTTGAGTATAGCCTAACGAGAGCTGCGGAAATTTAGTAAAGAGTTTTAGTTTTCCTATTTATTTAAGTATTGTAATATTTTCAAACTAACTTATTTTTAATCTTTATTTTTTTTTCAGAATCAAATTATTCAACACAATCAACGTGCTGGCGTTATTGTGAGTAGTGGCGATTTGGCGCTGCAGGGCGTCACACGCCATCAAGCTGGCAACTACACCTGCACCGCATCGAACGTTGAGGGCGATGGTGATAGCAATATTGTTGAACTGAAAGTGATGTGTAAGTAGAATTTCCATACGTTCATTTATTTCTTTATTTTTTTTTTTAAATGTATAATAAACACGAGAATAATCGTTCCGTTTTCACGAAACTTATTACAAGTCGATAGAATAATTATTGAAAATTTTCAGTTTTTACATTAAGATGCATTGACCATTAGTATTATTACTATTTTTTTTTTTTTGTTGAAAACTTGTTACCGGTAATAATAATATATGTCATATTCAGCTAGTTTTATTATCGCCGCAGTTTTATTTTTTGGTAGAAGGTTGCTGACAACGTCGCTCAATTAGTTCGAATTTCGGCGGGAAATTTGCTTCATACATAATTTTCAAGTGCCTATTAAGCACATCTTTTCGTACTAAAACGTATTTTCCACGTTCTACCTCGTGGCGTCGGCAAAATTGCGTCTCGCCGATAGAGGTCCCCCAAAATCAGGCTAAAATTACAATATATTAAGCTACAATAAGATAAGTCGGCTTAAATCTTCCCGTTTAGAAAGCAAGTTCTGGAGCGGTATATGGACTTACAAACGTTTACAAATCTTATATTTTTGTAAATCTTATATCAACCAACTCCAGTGTAGGTGAACACTAAAAGCAAACGATGTGAAAGACAAAGCAAAATAAAATTGTTAATAAATAAATATATACAAAGACACACGCACTTTTTCACTTACATTCATACATTCAAGTACACACCTCCAACAGCAACAATTTGTAGTACATACAAACGGTGTTATGCAAATATGCAAAGCAAAAGAAAGTCTTCTAAATATTTCCTTGCTCTACTTCTTGTGCGACTTCAAATACTTATTTTGTGCTCATAGTTTCAACAGAAACCCAGTTTCCTACTTTTAAAGTTTTTCCAACGGCAAAAGATGCCGAAAGCATTAAGTCGTTGAAGAATGTGAAATAAAATAAAAGTTAAATGACAAAGAGAAGTAGACGCAATGTCAATCCTGTAGACTAAACATAAATATGAGTGACTTATTTGGGTAAATAAGAACGGGAATCTCTCTGTTTGTTGTATGTATAAGTGCTTATGTTAAGGAACTTTTACAAATATTAATGTTAAGATTTTCATGTAAATTCTCATTCACTTTCAATTATTTATAGTAAAGTAAAAAATATTATTCTATGTTATTTTTCCTAATATGATAAGCTTACCTTTACCATTCTGCTAAGTTTTTAACCCACGCTCCCGTGGTAAGTAGCATGCGCTGCTGCAAGGTCCGACTACAATGGTCACATCAAGATCAATGAATTTAAAGCCATATGTTTTTAACAGAATTTTTTAATCAATTTACTTTAGACACAAGAAGTTATAGAAAAATAAGGGGTTCTGCGCTTTAATTTTGAAAAATTCTCGTTTTGTATTTCTCTCAATTAGTTTTATAATTTTTTATTAACATAAAACTGAGACATTTATTTTTATTTTTTTTTTTTAACCAGTGGAAAATCGAAATTTTAAAAAAAATATTGAAAATTATTATCATTTTACGAAATATTTTTATTTTTTATAATTTCTCATTGAGCGTATAATTGGCATTTGTTGCATAAACATGTGGCTCTCTCATAACTCACATTATTTTTTAAGCTCACTCTCTTTAAGACATAATTTTGTATGAGTAGATTTTTTAAATATTTTTTTTTAAAAATACTCCAACTATTCGCTTTCTCGTATCATATTGTTACTTTAACCGTTTTTTATATTAATTACTTTTTTTAAATAAATTAGATTGAAATTCTCTGTATTAAATTTCCATTCCATTTCAAAAACCAAAAACCATTTCAAAAAACTTACAAACTTTGTAAAAAAATCATATTTTTGTATGTACATATGGGTGTTAACTCTGCAGGGAGAAGGCAGACTAGTATGAAACAATTCTAGTTAAATACTAGTTATAAAATTTATAATATTGTGTTGTTGTTATTTTTAGCACGCCTCGACTGAGTTCCGTACTCTGTTTTGCTCTGTAAAAGTACGTTGATCGCTTGATCGTCACAATATCCGCTTGGTTGAGGTTTTCCTGTAGCTTATCAAGTTCACTGTTCGCGTCTCGCCGCAATCAAATTCATTTTTGTTTCCTTTAAAATATTACATTTCTGCTAAAAAAAGATTTCATCACCACGACATTCTTTTGGCGAGAATGTTTAGCTTCGTTTCCTCTCTCTGCTCTGTTGAAGTGCGCAACTCGTCTTCTTCTCAGTGTCAGTCTAGTAGTTAGACGTTTAGATTTGGGTTCATAGTTCGACCCTCACTGCAAGCAAGTTAATTTTTGATATATATATATATTTTTTTTTGTATAGTAGATATTCAAACTGAACTAGTATGTAACTGGTTTAAAGCTGATGCAAAGCTGGACAATTGACATCGCCGTGTTAAAAACACAAGTTGAAGTAGTTAGTGCCAAAAAGCAAACCAGTTGGATTCTATTTAACAACTAGTATTTTTCCCCCACAGGGTATTTATGTTGATAGGTCTGTCGTCGGCAATGCAAAGTACAAATATCACTAGAAAACTTTTTGCCTACTCTTTCACTTTCACGTCCGTCGTTTGCTTCACATACGTTCGGTAGAAAGTAACGGGTCAGGCACAAAGTAGCTGAGTAAATATACTGTTATATTTAAACTTTCCGACTCTAATTTTCAATGTTATTATACATTAGTGAGAGATGTGGTCAAGTTAAGACGTTGTAGGCTGAAATACTTTTAGTGTGTTTTATAGGTGTACACTATATAAGCGTGCTTAAATACATATGTAGTTGTACCAGTACTATAAGAACTTAAATGTGGATAATTTATGTGTAGCTCGGATTAAAAAAAATTAATTTCTCCAAATATTGTAGAAGCAGATAACAGCCAAATGTAAATAATAACAACTGGAGGCAAAGTAGAGTCGAAGAATTCCACAAAACGACTGTATATGTATCCATCCTCAAGTGCCCTCAAGTGCATAGAGTGTACATGTGCTAGGGCCGACATGCCATGAACTCACCATGATGGTCCGGCTACTTTTCGCATAAACATTAACTTTTTCATCAGCAATCGGCAAGCTAGCTGACTGGCCTGGACGGCAGCCTCAAGTCAGTGGTTGACTGCATAGTGGTTGCGTTGGTGAACGCTTCATTCTGCTAATACTAAGTTGTTGTTTAGTAAATTTTTGTTTCTTGTGTTTACTACCATCAGCTCTTTTTTGTCTGAATTCTGATGGAAAATTGCATTATTTATTACTAAAAATGACGTGGATATACGTAAGCGGCAAAGGAAGAGCACTAAAAGCAACTTCATTGCTTGGAAGTTACTTTAATGATGCGCCATAAACTCAATTATGTAGCAACCCTATTTTAAATTGCCAACAGAGTGAAAATTTGAAAAAAAGTTGCAATTTTAATAAGCACTCAAACAGTTTATTATTAAAGGCAAAACTTTAATAAAACATTTTTGTTTTTGCTCTACCGAAAATAATTTCCTTCAACGATTTGGTGTACATAATAAATTAGGCTGCATTATTTATGTTAGTCAACTAAATTATTATAAAAAGGGCTCTTAATTATAAATATGAATATGAAATAGTTTAACATTACTTGCGGGTTAACTTTAATCTAAAAGTCCGAGCAAGGCAAGTACTTGCATGGCCCATAGAAATAGTCTTTACTACCTTCATGTACATCTGGTTAAAACTACTGTGGATAATCGTAGAAAACTGTCAGCACAACTTTGACATTTCATGGAGTTTGGCGTGCTGTCTATCATATTTTTTATTATATTTCAAGCATCAGCATGCCAATTGTTTCATCTTTACTGCCTACGGCCGCAGAGGGAAACACCAAGTGAAGCCAAATCTGTTTTTTTCAACGATATGTGTGTTATATAACATACCGCATAATTCTCCATTCCACCGTCTCCGTACTCACCTTTGCCAATAATAAAAATCTTCATCAAAACCTCTGTCAAAAACTCCTATTGCCAACTCATCAGATGTTGTCAACATCTACGCTTCTGCAACTTAGAGCACGATGGGAATGTTAAGCAACGTTTGTTTGTATAGAGACGACTCTCGGTCCAAAGTACCACCGATTGGCCATAATAATTTTAAGTTGGATTTCATAGCTGGTTCCTAGTTAGATGAAATTATCTTAGAATTGAAAACATGAACTGTTTAATTGATGACTGGAGATATTTCGTCTTGTGCTAGATAATTACCGGACTCATTCGCTTTTGGTCAGTAATTGCGCAATCTTAAAACATATTGGACCTTCTCTCTGTAGAACTTTAACACTTATTTTACTATAGAAAAAGCCCATTTGTGGTACCGAACGACCCGGAGAAGTATTTCCCGTTATTGACAATCCCTTTCGTAAGGTCCAGCGATCATTTTCACATAAATCAAATGAGTGAGTTTCATGTATCGGATGCAGCTTTAAGATCGATGCAAAGGTTTCATTTATCGATTTTTATCTCACGGGTCTATTCCAATATGCCAACTTAAACCGTGTACGTGATATTGAAGAGACTATCGTGTGTTTTTTTTGCGGTCTTATTTTTATGAATTAAGCAGGAGGCATTCAAGTGACAGAGGAGCTGCAGGTCGACGTCATCATAGTTGTACTTTAAATACTGAACTAAATATTGAGTCAATAGACCGATCGGTCAAGCAGAGGATCTGTGATGCATTCGGGAGGTCTATTTCTGGACATATTTCTCCAATTTTTGATGTGGCTTTAGTGCCAAACGTACCAAATTCGATTAAGTTTTGTTTGAATAATGCCTTAAAAATTCGATCCTGAATCGAGTAAGAGGTAGAGAGTAAAAAGTCCGATGTACGAGGTGTGTTCAAAAAGTATCGCGAATTTTGAATTTTCGCGGGATACGTATAATCGAATTTCGATTTTTTTGTGGCGTTGTGTTGGTAATCATGTCTGTCACTTATGCCGACAAGCTCGGCCATTTTGAATGTTCACTAAATTTTGTACAGCTGCTTTGCTTTCACGTTTTTTGGTTGGTCTTCGATTTTTACCTATTCAAAAAAATGGATCAAAGAACCTGTATCAAATATTGTGTGAAAAACGAAATTAAGTGCGCTGATGCATTCCGAATGTTGACTGTGGCATACGGAGAAGCTACCTTGGACCGAAGCAACGTTTATCGGTGGTACGAATGTTCTCATGAAGGCAGAGAAGATGTGAACGACGAAGAGTGTGCCGGATGCCCGAAAAAATTAATTGCAAGGCGTGGTGCATCATGAGTTCTTGCCACAGGGTGGAACGGTCAATCAGGAATCCGCCAGAAACGCCCGTATTTGTGGAAGAACTAAAATTGGCTTTTGCACCACGATAACGCCCCTGCTCACACATCGTTGCTTGTGCGTGACTTAAACAACACACTAATAATTCCACAGTCACCGTATTCCCCAGATCTGGCCCCCTGTGACTTTTTCTTGTTCCTTAAACTGAAGGGGCCCATGAAAGGATGACGTTACGCCATGATTTACGAGATAAAGACGGCATCGAAGGAGGAGCTGAACAAGATAAAAAAAATTGTTTTTTGAAGTGTTTCGAAGATTGGAAAAACCGTTGGTACAAGTGTATAATATCTCATGGGGATTAATTTAAAGGGGACAAAGTAGATATTCATGAATAAATAAATAATTTTTTAAAAACCACAAATTTCGCGGTTTTTTTTGCGATATCTTTAAGGGGTTACATAGGCCGTGAAGGCAAAAAAAAAAGCTTTTTTTCTCTATTTTTTAAAAGATAATAAACAAAGTATACAATTTATTTTGTCTACATATAGTACAATATTTGGACAACATTGGATGAAAATTTGAATGAAAAATAGTATAAGGTAAGGCGTTGGCAGTGTCGTGAAGTAGACCGTCCACAAAGAAGTGCTTTCGCGGTAGTCATGATAACTTTTTTAATTTTTATCTGAAATCAGAAATCCAAAATCTTTCTTAAAGTAGGTGATATTTTCTTGTCCCAGAACGTAGAAAAAGTAAAAAAAAAACGAGCATTGCAGTTAAGATATTATTATTGATATCTGTGCAGTTCTTTCTTAGTTATAAAGGGTGATTCTTTAGTTATTACATTTTTTGGCAGCCCTGGTTTAAACAGCTGACGCACGATTCGTTTTTTGTATCATAGTTTAACCATGAATCGTTTTACAAACGAGCAGCGCTTGCTAATTATTGAATTTTATTATCAAAATGCGTGCTCTGTTAAGGAAGTTCATCGCGCGCTCTTAAAAAATAACCCTTTACCTTTTGATTCAAATGTTTTTCTGCACACATAAAAGTTTTCTCTTTTATGCGAGGGTCCTTACAGTAGTTTAATGTATATTTAGTTACTGAATTATCTGTTTTTTCGTTCTTTTCAAAACTACAGTTAGATGCTTGGGAAATCGGTCTGACCTCAACTATTTACAACAAATGCGCCAACCAAGCTTCATCAAATTTTCTCTATCCTTATTTGACTTATCGTGTACCCGAGCGGACGGACAAGACTAAATCGATCCGTCTCATTATTCCATGAAATTTACCTTTATATATATCAACTATTTTATTACTTTGCAAACAACCGTTAGCCCGAAAGCCGACAGTCGACAGCCGAGTTTAAAAATTTTATTCGTGATTGTACTGAAATATTTTTTCGATTTAAATAAACATTTAACATCGCTCCCCTCGTTGATATCAGAACTAAATGCTTAAATTACATTAGTACTATAAAGTATAAAATATTTCAACAAATAACATTTGCTCCTACTAAATACCAAAAATGTATATGTACGTACTCGTATGTATGTACATACACGTATATCCTTTAAGGTATCACTTGAGGCATTTGGCAGCGTGCAAGTATGCAAGCTAAGCCACGATTTATGAGTCCCAGTTAAGCTGACTATGTGGGAGTATGGACAAAACTATGAAAATATATTTCAGCTTGCCTTGCATTCTTTTCTCTCCCGCTTTTCGTAAACAATGCAAGAAATGTGCCTGCTGGCGACTACTGCTTTGTGTATTTCGGTAAATAAATATGTTGGTATGTATGTATGTATGTACATACATGTGCTTCAAATACCAACGTCAAAGTGGCCCCATTTTTTCCACGCCAAACCGAGAGAGAGAAAGAGAGAGAGAGAGAGCGAGAGAGAGAGATCGAAAATATTATATAAAAACATAAACAAATGTTGAAAAAATGGAAACTAAACCATAAAAATGCAGCTTAAAGTAAACAACAACAAAAACGCACTTGCGAAGAAATGGCGAAAATGTTAAAAATGATAAAAATAAAAGCAATTCTTGACTTACTTTCTGGGACAATAACGTCCGCGATGTCGAAAGCGAAAAAGTGATGCCACTGCTGAGATTTTTTCTGACGCATTTTTATTTTAATTCCGTTCGCCGCTATGCCGTTATAGTATTTGTAAAGCATCCTTTCTCTGTTTTTCAGCCAAAGTGCATATTTCTCTTGCTTTGCTGGATTTATTTACTTTGCGTTAGGTTTTTGTATTGCCCCAGCAGTGTTGCTGGGGAGTGTGGACAACACAATCGTACAAATTTTTATTGCTGCTAGGAATGTATTTAATACACAGTGGCGGAGTGTTGGTGTTGGTTAAGAACTCGTTTTGTATTTTATATGTATCAAAAATTGTATATTTGTATCAGCTTGAATTGCATCACGGATTTGTTTTTTCTTTTAGTTTTTCTTTTTATTTTTTATTTGACACAAAACACATTTCTGTGTGACACCTTCACTTGAGTACTGAAGTGTACAAACCTATGTATGTATGTATGTTTGCATATACTACACATATACACTATGTGTTCATATGTCATGCGTAGTCACATTTACCACAGTTTTTTTCACGCTGTTAATATTATTTTTTTTTTATTTTTACTTTCTTTTACAGACAAACCCATTTGCCGACCGGATCAGAAGAAAATTTACGGTGTGGCGCGTAATGAGGCCGCCGAGATTTTATGTGAGGTTGATGCATTTCCACCGCCGGAAAACTTCAAATGGTCCTTCAATAATACGGCAGAGACATTTGATATGCCGCAAAGTGGTTTCCGTGCACATTCAGCGCAAGGATCGACATTGACCTACACACCGGTCAAGGTGAGTGCACTTTCATAACTATTGTATATATGTACATACATAAATATGTTCAGAGACAATTAACATTCAACTACTTATTTTTCACATTCATACATTACTACTCCTATGCACATACGACTCATGATTATTGCTTTTCGCTCAGTTATCTGCTTTTGCATAAATTTACTTTTGTATGCATGTGTGCGTATGCGAGCGAATGTAAGAGCAGATTAAACACATATCCTATTTCATAAAAGAGAATACAAGAAAATTAAAAAACTTTATTTAAACGCTTTTTATTTTGAGCATAAATGGCAAGTGAAGAGCGCTAAATGGAATGAATGGAAATGAAGTTCAGTTGCTCCTTTGAAAAACAGATCCACGAAAGTCCATGTGAGAGATTAAAGCCCAGCATGCGCTAAATTTAAGAAAAAGTACTTGAGTAAAAACTCGAGTTAAACACTCTGTTCAAGATTGAATACTCACCTTCGACAGCCCGATGAAAGGAAGCTGCCTGTTTGCCACTATGTTTCAAGTTTATATTATATATATATAGAGACTCAGCGAACTGAAAACAGTTTTCTACTGAAATCAGAGCAAGGCAATACGTCCACTTCGTGATGGATTCCCCACACTTCAGCAGCGCTGGTATAGTATTTACTGACAACCACTAAGGGTTGTTTAAAGCTTACCTTAACGTTTACTTTCCCTGAGAGAGTTGCATTCATTCTGGTGGCGGGCAAAGGAAGCTCACTCTACTCGAATGAGCTTACAGATAAGTTTCTGGCAATTAACAGACCGAAGGAGGAGTAGTCAGTTACTTACCTGAAGCGTTTGAAGGCACTGGATATTCCTGAAAATATTTAAAGAAGAGGCCATCAGAAACGGACAAGTTCCCCGATACTAATAGTAATGCCATGCAGAATGTTTTAATTAAGATAGTCCATTTGGAGAAAAGGGTGAAAAAGCCCCTTAGCGTCACTTATGCGTGTATGAGATTATTAGTTGCCAGGTGGGGACTATCATTTGGTATTCCCCAAAGTAACATTTGCAAATTTTTCTTGCGTGACAGTCTTTGCCGGGATAAAAGTCCGGATTCTTCCGGTAAGAAGACTCGATTTTCGCTGGAACTATTGGATTTACGACTTACTCCACAGAGGCAGCTTTAGTGACAAGTAGTTATAGTTTTCATTATAGCCGGCCGTGGTCAACAGCGGCTCTCCGCACTTTGCTCAAGGGAAGCTCTACGAACTACTCTCACGGCTGCACTCGAAAGATTACTCGACCTACCACCAATCTGCAGGTATTGCAGCGAAATGAACTAGGAGATTGATAGAAAACTGTGTTGTTTGATTGACTTTCAGCTAGAACAAACAAAGGAAATTTCTGAACTGTATAACAAGCGAGGCGTTCTGAACTTTGCTACTTCATTTAATCTTGCACTAAGGGCCTCTACTAAAATAAAAGGTCGAAAGATAAAAAATGTAATATGAAGAAAAAAGTTGAAGTAGGTAGAAGAAAGATATAATTTTATTTTGACAGACATAACTTCGAGGTCGTAGAAGATTTCGCCTATCTAGAGACCAGCTTTAATGCCAATAATAACGTAAGCCTTGAAATCCAGCACAGAATCACTCCTGTCAACATGTGGTACTTTGGACTGAATAGGCAATTGAAAAGTAAAATCCTCTCTCGGCAAACGAAAACCAGTCTTTACAAGTCGTTCATCATACCCGTGCTATATACGGCACAGGAGGATGGACGATGTCACCATTTGATGAGTCGGCTCTGGGAGTCTTCGAGAAAAGAGTTTTACGAAAGATTTATGGTCCTTTGCGCTTTGGCAACGGCGAATACCCCAGACGATGGAACGATTAACTTTACCTTTAAAGCACTCCTGCTTTGAAAGTATTTGATTCAGTATCCGCTGGTGAAAACAGAGAAAGAGAAACCCCACCCCGTTGGAAGGATTAGGTGGAGAGTGACTTGGTTTCACTTGGTATTTCCAACTGGCGCCAAACAGCGAAAATAACCGATGAATGGAGCGCTCTCATTGATTCGGCTATAATCGCGTAAACGGTACTACCGCCCATAAATAAGAAGAGGAACTTATCTACTTGTAAACTAAGCCACCAATAAATTTAATTTCGTTAAGTCATCTGTGAATTACGCTACATAACTTCTCAGAGTACAGAACTATAGAAGAGGTCCAACTGGGCGATGTGGTCTCCATATAGAGGTGCGGTCTGTCGTAACAATTTTAACCCAATTTTTACTTTCTTTAACGCAATAACTTCACTCAGGAAATATAGTCAAACAATTTGAATTTCCACGGGTGACCACCAACATGAAACTTGTTTCTCTAATTCATAGAATTGAAGAAATAAAAATCGCAATTATCTGCAATTTGCTTTCTGTAATTAAATTACTAATCGCTCGTATTGCATAAGCAATTTTTTTTTATTGAAATTCCTTTTAAAGAACTTGACTATTGACAAAAGAGATTTTTGATAAATTATTCAAAATGATGAATTTCCAGGAAAATTTGTATGTTAGGTGTGACTGCTCTTGAAATTAAATTCCAAAATTGTCATTTTGGCATGCATTTAAATTAAGTTAGCTCCCGCCTTTCGGCATCACATGAAAATTATTCGATTGTACAGTATAAATGTTGATTTACTAAGAATATGGCAATAAACATCTCAAAATTCACATATGTTGCACACATACATATATATGTTTATAGTACGAAAATCACTTCGCTCAAAATATTGTATTCGCATAAGCAAACGGAAACCGGAAACGGCAAATATGTCAGCAAAACGGAAAGATTTTTTCCGCTTTAAAGCACACACAACCAACATCTGAGTTATTTAGGGTGAATATTTTTTAATTTACAATATTTTTAAGCTGGAAGAAAGTGAGGTATTATAATTGTAATACAGTTAGAAGATGTCAATAAAAATTGAGCTTTATATTGTATCATATATTGCTAGAAGAGTTTCGACCAAGTTTCTTCTTCAATTTACTATTTTGTATCTAGATGTCTTTCCCTCAAATCTACTATCGGTGGATGGCGTTTGAAGCAGCGGTTCTTCAATATTGTGCTGAATGAAGTGCTTGTAATTGAGTTCTACCACTTCTGATTGGTCTAGGTGGTGGCTCGGCTTCAAGTAAAATTTTTTTTGGATGCTCTCCGCGACAGCAGCACAGCATATATCACACCTCAAACCCCAATAGCTGTACAACTAATGCTAATGGTCCTAGTGGGGGTATTCTGGCAAGCTTATTCATCTATCTGAGCAAATTAGTTTACGACCGGCCGGCCCATTGCCTTGTATATTGCCAGCAATGCTTATTTGTCTTTTTTTCAGGAGCTGCTGGCAAAAACTTTGAGAATTTAGTTGCTGAAGAGTCCTCAATATCCGATAGTAGTCGCCGTTAAAAGCTCTTGAAAGATCCAGAGCCAGTTTTGGTTAATGCTATGTCCTCGCTATTGTGGTAAGAAAAGATTTTGCTAAACATGATTGTCTCGTTGGTTGGTTTCCACCGGTTTAAGTAACCGTACCACTCTTTTCCACATGTCAGATATTAATGGGTGAAGTTGCTTGCTCCCGCTGGTTCCAGATGTTCTAGCTTCAGCTTGCCTAGTCCGTCAGGGTCAATCGATTTGAAGGCTTTTATCTTTCCTATAGGCACCTAAACATTTTCCTATTCCTATTTCTATAGTTTATGATATATTTAAATAAAAAATAAATAAAAGAAATAAAAATTAAATTCAAAATAATTTAACAATTTTAATTCGAGGTTTCGTACCAAATGTGTGATTTCCAGGGAAATATTTACGAGTATGCTATGTAAAAGATGCAACTAATAGAACTATGTATGTATGTCAAGAAAAATAAATCCAATATCATTCATTGAAATTCCAAATAAATAAAATTGGAAAACATCCTCTTAACAATGTGTGAAGCATAAACTTTCATATTAGTATATATATATGTATATATATGTATATCTGAGTACGCACTGCACACAAATTACACACATCCATAACCAACATTGCCATTTCCAGTAACAAATAGCATATAATTTATATGTATTTGTACTTGTTTGTTGTTGTGAAAAAGTTTGTTGTTTCCAAGTTTGTTATTTTACGAGTATCTGTCAAATGGAATCAATTGTAAAGCTTTGTTAACGAGAAGCCAACATACACAGAAACCTGCAACAACAATTTGGAGCTGCCAACTTTTGATTCAAATTTTTGCGAAAAATGTTTTGAATATTTTGAGCATTTGCCATTTCAATGCGCAGTGGATCAATAATCTTTTGCAAAACCTTTCTCTCGAAGACACCCAAGGTTACAGATTTCAAACAAAAAGGAACTACTGCTGTGTCTGAAGTTACGTTTGGCACCGAACGGCTCTGAGAAGTGCTTCCCCATTTAAACAGAGCTTTTTTTCTGGCTTAACGGCAGTTTGCCCGGCCGTATAAGCTTTGCAGGAAAAAAAGTCCTATGTCGTAGTGACCGCTGCTTTAAAATCGACAAAGACGGGGAAGGGGGAGTGGTTTGCCGATCCCATTTTCAATAATCAGGAATTTCGTACTTTGTTTAATATATTTAGTATACCAACCGAGTCTACAACCACTCTTAGAAGGCCTTTCTCTGATAGTGGTTTGTAGTTTTTCAAACAAAATGTCATACAAGATTGGTCCTAATAAGCGAGAATATTGATAAATCTAATGCCACTGCCATTGGCGCAGACTTTCTTATTATTATTAGGTACAGAGTACACACACAACACACAGTACATTTCCAGTCGTATGGCATTTTTGTCCGCATTCAAACCACATTCTACAGAGAAGCTCGATAACAACATTTGAGTCGGTATTATATATATATATATATCGCTATTCGAACTTCATCACAGTCGAGTGCGGATATGTCGCTTGGGGTTTCGGGAGCACTTTTCCAAAGAATTTTCGAGCTTTGCCACTGTCGGTCATCTTCTCAGCCATTCGAACTAACACTTTTAGACACCTCCATTTTTCTGCTTGCGAATGATGATGAGACGACAGTCGTTTTTCTTTCCACTGCGATACCACAATCCTTACCATTCCAGCTCTCTCTTCGGCATTGTCAAAAACGAACAGTTCGGTTGATGAGCTGATGAGTGCTTGCAGATTTTCGCCGTTGAACCTTCGCAGGGGTAGATGCGGAGGAGAATCTTGGTTGCAACAAGATATGGTCCGAACCGGACGGCCGAGGACTCCGGGCGGCACATACATCTTAAGTACTAGATACATGTTTTCCAGCAATCACAACAATATTAATCTACTTCCGAGTTTTTCGTTTTTCGGTTCAACGGAGAGCAAGTTACAACAATGATCACGCTTATTTTAACCAAAAATCCACGACCGAACTTGCACTCCTTTACACAGTTACGGTAGTAAAGACACAAAGTCTACCCTTGTCCCGTCCATAGTCTTTCCAGGATATTAATGATATCAGCTTTGAATTGAGTGAGGACATTAACCAACAGGACATGTGGAGTGACCTGACACTTTTGGTTCAAGGTCCATATAATGATGCTACCGAAACTAAAAATCTAAAAACCCTAGCGAAGTCTAAATTGCTTTCTCCAGCAATTAACAATTAGAAATTTACCGCTATACACTTTAGAAAACCGAGGTGATACAAACATTAAGTTTTAATCCTATATATATGCACACATACAATATGAAGGTTTCATCTAATTTTTTTTTGTATTTTGCAGTCTTTTTCTCTTAACTTTCTTGAGAAATTTATCACTCTTTTAAGTTAACTCAAGTTTTGGTAAAAATAAATAATATTAAAAATATCTTACTGTATTTCAGGAAATGGATTTCGGCACCATAATGTGTTGGGCAGATAACAATGTTGGCCAACAGCGAGAACCATGCGTCTTTCATTTAATTGCTGCTGGCAAACCGGAAATGCCGGCTAATTGTACAATATTCAATCAGACATCAGATTCATTGGAGGTTTATTGCATGGAAGGTAAGAAATTTAAATTTTTGAGGTTACATGAATTTGATGTCCTTCAAAGAATAAGAATATAAACTCCGCTCTCCTATTATATTGTTTAAATGAACTAACTGAAACAATTTTACGGTTATGCAAAAAAAAAAAATAATAAATAAATTCTCCTCTCTACAAATATGTTCGACATAAATTTTCACTTTAAAATCGCTTCAGACCTGTTTCAATGTTGCTAATGAAGCTGCCGGGTAAAGCTTCAAGATCTTATTTAATTTTAAGTACAATAAGGGCCATTCCATAACTACGCCAATCTTTATGCAGACAAACTGTAGTGATGTGAATTTAAATTTCTTCAACTAACCGATTACGTCGGTAGTAATTAGCGAGATATGTTAAGACATAAAAAACGGAGACAAAACTTTCTCTGGAACAGCGGTTGTAATTACCAAAACAATGGTTCGACTCCCGCGACGCATTTCGCACCAATATTTGGTCGACATAATTGTCAAGCAATGGCGGCAAGACGAGCAGCGATGGTTCGGTTTCGCATCACGTATACTCTAGTGAACAAGACCCGGTACAGTGTGCACTGAAGATGTCATTGTTGTTATGGAATACAGGGTCCGCCATCTAACATTTTTTTTTTTTTGAACTAGTGGTTATTTTGAGTGTGGTAACACTGATGTTACATCTGATTTGACAGAAAGTTAGTTTTATCCTTCCGCTGAACGAAAATGGTTGTGCATACGATTGAGGAACGCGTTAAAATAGTGCAGTTTTACTTTGAAAATTATGGTAATGTTGCAGAATGTGTGCGAAAATTACGGAAATGAGCCGTAACAAAGCACCGTCCGCTCCGTATGTGCGCTTTCTTTTGAAAAAAATTGAGAGAAACCGGCACAATTATTGATAAACCAACGCGTGAGAAACCAAAAAAAGTGCGTACTGCCGGTAATATCGCTACTGTGGCCGAGAGTGTTGTAATGGAATACATAGAGTATCGAAGAAGACCTGAATGAGTCTATCCGCCATCGCCCATCCACTTGAAATTCAGCTCGTGCTAGAACGACCATCAAGCATATTAAGCGAATGGGCTCAAAATGAGATGACTAACATATTCCGATTTCCTTAAACTAGTTTCTTTACAGTGTTGAATCTTACTTTTAGTTAAATACGTAAATTAAGAGATAAAAACTGTCGTACTTCCAGCGATGCTAATCCCCATGCCATTATTGAGAAGCCGTTTTGTCCTCAATAAGTCACTGTCTTCAAAAATGTAGCCGGCCATGATATTGAAGTAAATGTAGAACGCTATAGAGCCATATCATACACCCCACGAAACTATCAATTTATTGAAAGAGACTTTTGGGGAGCTCATTATCTCGCGTCAAGGGCCACATGTTTTTAAAAAAAAAACTCCTTCCTTTATAATATATACATAGAGATATAGACTATATGCAGACAAAAGTTAAAATTATTAGAATTATATTTTTGGCTTTTGTGCAACACTTTACTTGGACTACGCCACAAATGAGTAAAAATGCGCAAGACTTCATGGCAGGCAGCCCAGCACGTTCACTATAAAACTTTTTACTCCTCCCTAATCCCACCGACAGCCACTCTCATTGAATACTCGCAGACGCTAGGCAAAGCTAAAATAACTTTTACTTTACCCCTTCTGCTAAGGTACCTCGGAAAAATATCCAAGGAAAGATCATTGTAAAAACTTAGCTAATAAGCTCATTGCACAAGAAAAGAAAGCAAAACGTAATAAAGCAACGCCGTAAAAGCAGAATGCGAAAGAAGTTAAAGTTTTTGCAAGTTAAAGCTGTGGATTGATTAACTAAAGTGGCCACTTCTCTGGCTCATCAAAGTTGTTTAATTTTTTCCATTTCTTAGTTTGCATCACATTTTCTACCCCACTCTCTCTCTCTCACTCTCTCCCTCTCTCTCGGCCTTGTTGGTACTTTTACATCGCCTGCATATTCTGTTTATGTCCGTTCGTTATGTATTTTCACTTAATTAAAAGGCCACCAACTAATAAAACCGCATTATGAGTTTGAGTGTTAATGAATAAGAATTGTCGGGAAACTTATTGAAAGTTCTAGAGAAATAAATATGCATGTAAAGGCTAAACGTTTATTGCAAATACTTGCTTGATTTTTAGAAAGCGGTAAAGAATCTTGGATTGCAGGAAGTATTAGACTTAAGTCAATATTTTCTTATATCTACTGATAAATATACAACCCTTTTATCGATGAAGGCGTTCATGGGGTGGGGGAAATAATTATATTGGGTTTATGTTCATAATATTTGAATTAGATTTAAGGCTTAATTTACCATTGTTAGATTTATCAGATTTATATCAAATATACACTGCTTTGCTCAATATCTTTTTGCCATTTTCAAAGTAGTGCCATTTTACCTCTCTCACTGAAACCTTTGTCCCCATTTGCAAACAATTGACTTTCTTTTGCTTTTCTTGGGGTCAAATTTTCACCAATCAAATCACTCGTCAAAGACCAGAACAAATGACAATCATTAGGAGTGAGGTTCGGACTATAAGAACCTACCAATCTAGCTCTCTGAACTTCTAGTGAGTCGCAGTCGTTGTATGTGGTCATGTGTTGTCCTGATGAAAAACACTTCCCCTCCTATTTGCCAAAGCTCAGAAATTTCTGAAGTTTTTCTTCCCTCAGAAAGTAAATAAGCAGATGATAGTGTATGATTCCTTGCCAATCCCACGAAACACGCAACAAGCCCGTCCTGATCATCCTGACCATCAATCCTGGCTTGGAAACCCTTTATGCCCCCTCTTATCATAAGAATGTGTCTCGATTGGCATGCCCAAAATAATCATTTGCTAATAACGGAGGAAGTGCCAAAACTATGAGAAGAAAGTTGACAACGTAATTTCTATGGTCCAGTCCTGGAAAAGTGCCCAAAGTGGCACAAATTCACATATTGAGCTGCGAGTAAGAACAGCCTACCGCAAAAGGGCGGCGCTTCAAAAGTAAAATTATTATTTTTGGAGGAAAGGGTACAAAAAATACGTTAGATGAAACCCCAATACTGAACGCAGCACCCAAAACATTAAAATGCCGTTAAGTTTGGCGGTGCGACTACAATGATTTAGGATTGCTTTTCATATTACGGTGTAGTCATCATATGCCGCGTAACTACCATAATGGATAGTTTAACATATGTTAAAATGTTGGATGTAGTAATGTTGTCTAGTATCAAAGAAAAGATGCCAATAAGGTGGGTCTACTATTTAGAAAACGATCCGCAACATTCCAGGTTTAAAATCCTTCTAAGTCACCGGGGTCATCTAACGGGGGGTCTAGGAAACGTGCTTCGAGGCGTCGGACCAGAGGAAGAGGAGGGTCAGATGTATCGATTGAAGGGGGCATTTGAAGAGGTGGTTAGTAGCGTGCGGAGACTTTCCACATGCGGGGCATACGTTAAGTATGTACGAGCCGAATCTGGATAGGAAGGAGTTTAGCCTGCTATAATATCCAGACCTAAGCTGTGCAAAGCCCCGTTTCGGCAATCAAAACCCGGTTAGGTCAAAAGGTAACAAAAAAAAAACAGGTGGTTTCAATACATTGTCGTTTAACACCGTTATCGCCAACAAAGCATTCTCCACAAAATACTAACCAGAGTCGGCCACCGGTGCCCCTTTTCGGCACCACTACTACTGTGCTCTCTTTAACTGCGGTGTATTACTAGTTCCGGTGCAATAGTATCCATCTGTGGTATGAACATGAATGCATATGTGTATGTATGTATGTATGTATGCTGTTTTCAGCGTTGTAAAAATGCATTCAAATGTAAGAGAGTGACGCATACATAATGCAAAAGTGCACTCAAGTTTCTCATGTTTTTTAAATGAGACTCAGTTGCAGGAGCGATATGTAAACGTATAGAGAGAGAGAGAGAGACAGAGGATCAAGGGCAATACAATGCTTCATGTGCTTACAAACATGACACGCAAAATGCTGTTATACACAAACATACATAACTTTATGTAATATACACAGATATGTATGCAGACAACCTTTAACTCTCGCATAGGTATATATGTATATATGGATGTAGCTCAATCTGTAGTTACAGCTACTTGCTTACCTGGCTCCTTATATACATATGTCAATGATTTTGTTGCTATTGTTCTGCCTTCTACAAATACATTCATACATATGTACATACGCTCATATTGGTTACAACGAAATGCTGTCAAGCGTAAGGCAAGTGCCTGAACAAGAGGAAGACCGTAGCCAAATACCTTTCCGGTAAGCATTTCGGGTGCTAGCTACTTGCCATTTTTGCTGTCAGCCGCTACGGGCTGAGCTTGTAGATACGAGGCGGGCGGATGAGCGGACTCATTGCTTGTTTTCTGTCTTGGTTGTTCGATTTAGTGTCGAGTTTTGGGGTTAATAAGGGCAACAAGTCGAAAAGTTTGCTTCAAATACTTGACTCGCCTTGGTTGGATGAATATTGTATTTTTGCATTTATGTTGGTGCGCTCGTATATATGTGCGTATATACAAGTTATTGTTGTTATTACTTTAGAAATAAAGTTTTGTTGCTACTGATTGCCTTATTGTTCAGCTGTTGTTGTTTTTTCGTGCTTTTGTACAAGAGCTTCATACTGAATGGCTGTATATCATATTATATATAAATATATACATATATAAATATATCAGTTTCTATCATTGTATTTGTATTTGTATTTGCTTTAGTGGTTTAAATAAATTCAAACGCGAACCTTAACTTGGCATGTCCCGCGTCAGCGCCATCCACACACTATCATTTGCCTATGCACATGTAAATATATGTATATACCTATGTGTGCATGTTTACATATATTGCAATCGAATTTATTTAGTTATTTATTTGCGTTGCATACAATCTTCCTCTTGCATATAACATGAATTTATTCAAATCAATTTTATTGCTGCATTTCTGTAGATCAGAATATTAAAGTACGGATTCAACTTGAATTTAGAATGCTGGTCGTGATCTTGATATCGTCTGCTGAGACCAAAATGGCTGAAGTCATTTGAATCAGTCTCAAAATACAGGATAGATGAACTTCAGTCGAAAAACATCCAAAAAATCTTGGTTACCAAGAATAGCCTGCATGGAGATTAGCCCATGAATTAGAGCAATTGAAAGTGCTTACAGTATCATTATCTCATTAACTCTCACTTGAAGAGTGCTCATTGGTGGGGAAGATCCAAAATCCATGCACATGAGTCCGCGCCATTGGGGAAAGAAAGAATCATAATTGAAATGAATGTGTCTAAACTGTCTAGTTCATAAGCAATACGGACGGCACATAGACGGGAAAGTGGCACTTTGTGACATGTACTACAGGGGCCTCAACAAAGCAAAGTTCTTCCACTTTTGGCTTCTTTGCGTTCATGCTTTGACGGAAGAGACAGTAGATGTGACGATGTGCCGCTTAGAAATTTTAAATAAGTCTAGGCTAAAGAAGATATGCTCGGCACAACATCAGTCTTAATGACGAAAAGCGTTGGTGCTGAATTGCTTTGCAGAGATCCAAATTCATCAATCAAAAGTTACACAACCAAATCGATCGTGCTCTACATTATTCTAGATGCACGTACGTTCGGAGGCCATCGATTTTCCACTCAAATGTACGCTATATATCACGATCCATCCGTGCCTTCCGGTGTAGCCAGAGCATCACTTGCACAGCGAGGCATCTATGCTGCGAGTTAAGGAGCAAATGCTTTGATGTACAAACTATTTCTGCTGGATTGATACCGTAGGGAACATCAGAAAGGGAGTACTTGACCTTAAGGACTTTATTCAGAACCGGCTACAACAACCGGAGGACAGAACAGCTTACTAACAAGTATTAAGCCCAATTCACTTTCTCAACTCTCTTCCTGTCAATGGTGTTCTCGGAGACAAACTACCATCTAATGCAGACAAATAGCTTGCGCTGCCTCAATATCGCCGCGTAATACTGGTACAATTTAGATTTGAATAATATTGTATATTAAACTCCGACTTATGCCGACTTGACCCCAACTTACCGAGTGAAGGACGAATATGTATGTCCTGCTTGCAATGAGCCCCCGCACGTCACTAGCCACCTATTTGTATTCCCCCTAAAACCAACTTATCTAAACCATCTTTCCCTTTCGTCCGAGCCCATCAAGGCAGCTCGTTTCCTACACCTCAAGTTAGGTGACCTCGATGACTTAGACTGATCTAGCCCACCCGTAAGAACATGCCATGACTTACAATTTCATGTTGAAACTATCGGTTAAGCTGGTGTAATGTAAAATGATTTTTGGCAGCAACAATTCTACAGCCTACCGAACGGCAATAAAATTGTTTCGCCACCAAATCGAGACGCTAAAGATTTTAAAGGCTAGCGGTTGTACCTTACACATATGTTTGTCATTCATTCAAGTACGAGTTGCTCAAATGAGAGCTCTTTTCACTTATTTAAAAAGAAAAAAGTTAAAAAAAATATTTAATTCACTTTTTCTTAACTTTTCAGGTTTCGATGGCGGCCTGCGTCAATGGTTCCTAATGGAAATATTCGATCAACATAGCGGTCAATTGCAAGCGAATATATCCTCCAAATATCCAGTTTTAAGTGTAACTGGCTTGGACTCCGCACGCCTATTTCGTATATTCGTTTACGCAGTAAACGTGCGCGGCCGCAGTGAAGGTGTGCAAGTGGAAGGATATACATTAAAGGCGGCAGAAAAGCAAACTGGTGCGTACAGACCAAACAACATCTAAATATTATATAAAACAAATGAGTCTTCAGTGTATCTGTGATGCATATATGTGGGAATATATACATTCCTGTTTTATACACTATAAAATATGAAAAATTTGTTTCCTTACGTCATTTAAACTAATTTTAATAATATAATTGAATTTAAAATACCTTTTTTCATCTAACAAAGAGCTTTAACAAATTGAAGAAAGGCTCCATTACATACTATGCTTATAATGTGAAATAAAGAAGCAAACAAATTACAATCCCTTTTCATTGCCCCTACAAGGTTTTTTGCTTTTCCTCAGAATCAGCGTATACAATTTTGCTCGAGCTATTTTTCCCACTAGTTGGCTACTCTTTTACCCTTTCAAAAAGGTACAATTTAAATGGTAGACTACATCGCACCGACAGTTTATGAGTGATATTTATGCCAACCTAAATATTTCTTATAAACCGAGCAAAAGAAAATTAAACAAAAAACAAAAAGAAAGTCCAGGAAAATTGGAACTAAAGCTCATTTCAATTTATGAGCTTACTTTTTTTTCCTTTTCCACCAGTAATTTTTACCTTAAATTATGCAGAAGAAAGTGCCCGAAAAGATAGTAAATATGAAGACCGCAAAAATGGTCAGACAAACCTAGTCCACACTCCGTGAGGCGGATAAACGCCTGAGTGTACACTTAAATGCGCTGGCGTATAATTTAAAATAAAAAATTGGATTTTTCAGAGACTTGAGTAGCTGTCGCGTTAAATGAAACAAGAAAAAAAAACACATACACGAGTACATATAAGTCTTGCTAATATTCGCTCAGAGTAGCTAAAGTTGGGAAAATAGAAAATAGAACAAGCAGGCAGCTACGGAGTGTAGATAAGTGGCGAGGTGATGCCGTGGAAAAGCGCCAGAGGAAGTGGAAAATTTAAAATGATTAGCTTTAATGAAAATGACGGAAACCCTTAATGTAGTGCAAAGAAAGTAAAGAAAAAAATTTCAAAAAAGAGAAAACAAATAAATAACCGGGTAACCGTGCGAAAAATGTTCGAAAAGAAAGAAAAGTGTATAAAATAATGGAAATTGCAATATTAATTAGATGTTGAGCTGTACTAGAGATGGCTATCGCTGACTATTTTATCAGCTAGAACAAATGGTAGTAATATTTGTTTTAAATTGTAAAACGTTTCTTGTTGATTATTTATTCTTATAAATTTTTCGTTAATGTAAATATGTTTGTACGCTGTATGGTACTCTAAGCAGCAGACTTCTTTTCAAAACTAATTAGGTTTTTGTATTCAATAGTTTTTTTTAAAGGAAAGAGAGACTTCAAATCATTATGTGAAATTATAAACTGAGATTAATGTTTCTTAGAGAATTACGCGCTCCGTGCAAAAAGATGTACAATAGCATAACACTAAGCAAGTCTTAAAAGTTTTCGGCAATTTGGTGAAGCATATAAGAACAGCTCTAGGACGGGCATTAAAGTAATAAGATTTTTTAACTTTTTGACCCAACGAGCTTTATAATTTACTCTTCAATTGCTGCAACACCTGCTACACGACGGTTTGATTCTAAGTGTGCTCTCCCAAATTCTCAAAAAAGTGAGTCCACAACCAGCACCAACTAACGTGGTAAGGATTCCCTCAATATTGCATATAAGGTTGCATCGGTTGTATTATATGAATGATAAAAGCTTGCCGTCATCAAGCTGAGCGGACGTTATCAATGTGACGTCAGACCTGGTAACCTGCAACAATTTCAGTCTTTAAATCCAACTATTTCCAGCTGGCGATGCTCTGGATTCAGAAGACAATTCCGTAGTATTAAAATCAAGCTCTTCAAGGCGCTCATGCTTGCCGTCTTACTTTATGGAGCAGAGACTTAGACAGTGGCAAGAGTAAGGTTTTTTAGAAAGATTTGGTCAACCAAATATAACCTTTTTCACAATTTTATCAAAATATTAATGTATAAGGCAACCATTAAGAGTACTATGTCAATGAAAAAAATATGCATACATTCGGTTTTATAGGGAAATCAAAATATCTATTATCTATTTATTTCGGTTTTCTTTTAAAGATCTAATTCTTTACCAGTTGCCGTCTTTGCTCGACCTACAAATGTTACCACCTTAAGTTGCTGCAAGTCGATATCCAGGTTTTGGCACAGCCACAGCCGGCACTTGGTCGGATGGGTCTTTTGGCCGAAGATAAGTTTGGATAGTGGATAGTGAACTTGGTTGTAATACCTTGTAAATGAGTCCAACAAAAAAGTTCCGGTTAAATCAGTGCTCTAGCAAATGGCAAAAGTTTCTCGATTCCTCAATTAATGGTGGGAGACGCTGACACATAGCAGAAACTGCTGAGGGTGTTTGCATATCTTCCCTTTAAATGTATATTAAAACCCAGTCACAATCTTTAGAAATGTTAACACTTTTCTCGCTGATTTTTAAATATATATATTTTTTATTTATTTTTTTATTTATGTACAGCTAAGTGCTTTTTAATTTATACATAAGCTGTTTAAAAATTAATCGAGGGATTAATGTACTGAATACAATTATGAAATTTTTCCCTTTAGCATTGCCATTTTAGTATTACTCAACTTTCTCCTTACACTTCGTCTTTCATTTACTTGCAGTGGCTTTGACCTCCTACAAAGGTACTCAATCAAACTTCGAAATCACACCAATATTATCTGTGGGCATTTTTGTTGGACTCGCTGTGGCATTGGTTTTTATTACTATCGGTACAATTGCTATATTAAAACTGCGTTCACACAAACAACAACAAAAATATCAACATCAAAATGCAAAATTCTCACGACCAGGCAATTTACAAATTAAAGATAAAATCTCCTTGCCATTAAGCCATTCGGAGGAAATGTATGACGAGAAGAATCCAGATGTGGTGCCATACAATGAAGGTGAGTTAACAACAACAAATTCATAAGTGAAAAGTGCAATTAGAAAAAATAGTTGTTAGGTATATACACATGTAGAAAGGTATATACAGAATATCAAGAGAATTTCGCATAATTACTTGTGCAACTAAAGATTCGTTAGCTTTTTTTTTTTTTTTTTTTTTTTAAATATGCTCTCATAGCAGCACATTTGCTCAAAAGATATTGTACAGACTGTCAATGTCCTTTGTAAGTGTATTACTCAGATATTTTGCCAAATATATGAAAGCTAATTTTTAGCAAAAATTTTAGGCATAATATTTGAGCGTGTTTTGCCTCCAGTTTAATAAAAGTGCTATGTCTCTGAAGAAGGTATAGGTATTTTAAATAATTAATTCAAATTAATTCTAAAACGACGTCATCTTGTTAAAATCAGGCTACTTCTTAGGAAAATACGTTTACAATATATCATATATTCGAACAATATTTTTGTGCAATTTTATGAAGCGAACGACTTTCAAGGGACAAATGATCGATTTGACTTTTTTCTCGATTTTTTTCGTTCGGTTCATCAAACTTTTCGGCACTCGTGCTTAACAATATTCGATCAAACGTAATAAATACTATAATTTTAAATTTTTACTTATAAAAAAAAAATTGCAGAGGAGGATAGTTTTGAGGCTCAAAATTCCTTTCCTGCTGTAATGTAACAATGTTTATTTTATAAAGAGTATTTTTGGCATATTCAGTAAGTGTCTTTTTTGTTGCTACAATAATTTTTATCACAATCTCTTTTCATTAAAAAGTACTGTCCCTATTGTAATGCAACAGACAGTATGCTTTGCTTTAAGTAAAAAGAAATACCAGCGGCATATTTCAAAAGATTTTAGAATTTTTGCCAAAATTTTTTTAATATTGCTTTGAAATTAAATGGTTGCCATAATAAATATTAAACAGCAGTTAAATAGTTTTTGAAACATATTTCAGCAGAATGCTTTTGTGAGCAATTAGCAAAAAAATTTAACTTTACCTTAATCCTGGTCAACTGCAAAATACTTTTTTACATAAGAGAGTACTTGAAGGTAATCGGTAAGGTAAGGCATGAAATGAGTTCAAAGAAAGAAGTGGATATGTTAAATAAACAGACAGGAATAAAGTAGTAAGAAACGAATCGAAATGAAATGAAATGAAAATAAGAAAAATTAGCTGATTATTTTCACGAATTTTTGACCCGAACTCTCAGTTAAGAACAAACCAGTATAGAAAATCAATATGTAATAGTGGTTCAATTGGGACAGTTTCGGCAATGATCAATACAATATAAAAATATTAAAATTTTGTGGTAGACATAAAAATAATTTACAATATTACAGAATTATTCTACGTTTTTCTAGTAAAAAAAGAAACTAATAAAGCACAATCCCGTACAAGCTCATGAAATTGAAAAATGACTACATTATACTATATATATGTTCAGTTAAAACTTATACCACTTAATTTTAGATCGGTATATACCGTTATCTTCAGGTCACTTTCTCTTTTCATTATTTATCTAGTATTCAGTATAGCCAGTTTGAAGCTTAAATTCAGGTTGAATATAAAGTTGAGAAGATAGCTCACCCACTGAGTTTTGACTCTCTTGTGCTTTCATCAATCCTTTGCACTTTATTAAGATTAATTCTTTGGTTACAAAAAAATTACCGTCATACAAATTTACTTAATGCTGTTACTTACAGCCTAGGAAAAACTAAAAACAATGAAAATTTTTTGGAAAAAAAAATTTCTCGAAGTACAGTTCTAGAGTTTTTTGAAAAATATTCCGCTCAATCATTTGACTTTGCTACCTTAACAGTAAAAGAAGCATAGCGAACTTCGCGCGACATTAAAAGTAAACTATTATTGCAGTTTAGGCAAATCATAGAACCAGAAATAAGGTCATAAATGAACAATAAGGACTAGCAAATAGACCTCAGATTAGGGTGAATCGGATTACAATTTGTAGAGCCTAAAGATCTTAGTCTAACGCCAAAATCCTGCCAAATTTGCATATTTCTAGGCACCATAAAACTTATATGGTTGATGAAAACCACTGTCAAAAGTGTCACAAAAATCTTTCTTTCGTTATTCCATCACATTGGTAGATAGATTGAAAAAACACAAAAACAGATCGGTTCAAAGGAAAATAGATTTTTCATAGACAGGAGCTCAGTTGTAACCTTAACGACCTCAAACATATTCTTAACCAACACTGAGGATTCATTTCTTTGAAAATCCTCTCCAATGACCTAATACATATTTATATTCATCTAAAAAATTTTATGATCCTCCAATGGACCTTTTGTTAAAATCTATATTTATGTAACAATTTGAAAACATGATTGCTATCTTTTCAGTTGATGGCGAATACAAACAGAAATCAGTTACACAAACACCATCCGGCCATCTGTCCACAACAAGCGAAGCGGAAATTAGCTGTAAACCACTAACGGACGAGCTTGGCGCATACAAAAGTAACAAGGTAAAGAGCTCTCACTCAACCACTCACATTCACTTTTACACGCCGTGGGTGCACGCAGCCTGCTTTGCGCAAAGTACGTAAATTCATCATCGTTGCGGGTGCTGCTGATGATGGCTTACTTTGCAGTCAGCTTCTGGGATGTGTCTTCTCAAAACTTTTCTTTTCTTTTATTTTCTATTTTAATTTTCAAGTTTTTATTTACATTGCCCGCCTCCTACTCACTGCACCTTGGTTTCTTTGTTCTTGTTCATTTTGGCGCGTTGCGTGGGCTTTCATATATGCTTACATACATACATACATATATACATACATACATACTTATGGCGTAAGTTTGCGACGGGCCTTTGTGTTGCCCACGACACCGGTAATGGTGTCAACTGTGCGTCGATAATGAAGAAGAAATACACTGTGAATGGCAGGGAAAATGAAGATCGGCTGTTGCAACATTGATAACGTGACATACAAACGTACATACCTACACTTGTTCGTGTATTTAAGACTTTTAGAAAAAGTTGGGTGGTAGGGACACTTGCTTGTTGTACGAGGATGATTTCTTGTAGACAATCAACCAAAGTTTTAATTACTTTGCTCTACAACAAAATTGAATGTTTAATAACTTTGCGGAATTACTTTGCATTAATTGTGCATAAAAATTGTCAGGCGCCATTGGCTGAGGAAATTTATTTATTCCTTTTGTAAGTTTGCCTTTCTTTAAAAGTCTATTTTGCAAAATGAAAAAAGATGTGTAAAAAGTGAAGAATAACGAAAGCTGTACAGACATTGCAAGCGAAAAAGTTTTATATTCTAAGTGATTTGAAAGGGAGTGTGCATCGTATGAGCGAAAAGCGTAGCTCAAATTGGAGTAAACACCCCTAACATGTTTACCGACGACTCGTCATAGCGCATCATTGCCTTGGCTCTGTATCACCTATTGAAGACCCAAGGCATAGCGAAGTTCTTCGATATCAGATTTTTCCAACAGAATGGAAGAGGATTTTTTTATTTTCTGCTTCTATCAGCGGATTCTGCTTCGTTCGGGACTAAAGTATTTTCATCTATCCAGAGGACATGACTTGGACAGTGCTGCTGCTAGCTTTTAATCGGCTGAAATACGTCGAAATCATCGTATATCTCATACAAATCAGACGTTGTCAGTGGAATTACCGATAAAGAGTGATTTTGTCAGAAATTTCGTTTAATATCAATTGAATAAATGTTTTTAGAAGGAAACCAAATTCAGACATTACTTCGTAGAGGCTGCTCCCTTTCGTGTTATCATGGGTCTTTTTTAAATCGGGAAAGCGATTTATTGTGTCATTTCTTTTCATCCAAGTATTTTCCAAGACTTGACAAAAGGTGATTTTCATTTGTCGTTGGTTTGAAGCCACACTGATTAAATTTTGTCAGTTCGGTGACTATGAACCACACAGTAGGCTAGATAAGACCATATAGCCCAAATTCAGAATACTTACTCAATGTCTACCACTCTTTTTGTGAACTAGAGGCATGATTTCGTCATTATTTTAATATTTTAAAATATATTTTATTTATTCTAATAGCTCAGATAGCAGGCTATCAGCTATCTAGCTTTAAGTATAAACCATAGGTGGATTCGAACTAGGGCAATGCAAGAGTTTGTTATATCGTTTTAACAGGAGATACCAACATGTGGTTACTGCCTAGGGTGAACTAGATACGCGTTGTGGTTAAAATTATTTCTTTCATAAAATTTCAATTGCATCTTATTACACTGGAGGTAGCTAAAGCACGTTTTCTGCTAAAGGCACGGTAATCAAAGTGGTTCTCTTATTACTTAGATTATCTGATCCTGCTGATATTACTTCTTTCAGTAAGTGAAAAGCCTCGACATACAATAGATTTCGTGGACAAAATCCTTAAAATGTTTACTGTGACGAAGTGCCAAAGGGGGAGGTAGGCGTTCACTTTGGAGCAAAGGTTGCCCTATCAGGCGTTGAGAGAATCAATTAATTACCAAAGCAAACATTTCAATTTCTATAATGATCACTTGTAATATTTAAACTTATATACAAACTTGAATTTCTTTCACTTTTCAGGATGACGAACTTCATTACGCCGAACTCACGCTTGCACCCGGCAGCGCCAGTTCAAGTGGCATACCGAAAAAGTCTATATCGGTGGATTGCAGCAGCAGCATGTTGCTACAAGGCGCCGGCATAAATACGAACAACATGTCCGCCACTGTCGGCGGCACATTACCCCATGGCTCTAGTGTACGTAAAATGTTGCCCAATATACCAGCTAATGCCGGTGCGAGTACACTGCAGCGCCTCAAGCAGCAGTCGAAAACAACAGCGCAACAGCAACAGCAACAACAACCACCACCACCATCCTATGATTACTTTGAAGAGCCCACGATATATGCACAAATCGATCATTACAAAACAACAGCGACCGGTACACCTGCTGGAGCGCTATCAGCAACAACAAATGGCATAAATGCTGGCTGCTCCTCATCGGCATCCGTATCGCCATTCCCGCCATGCATCTCATCGCCCACCTCACAGGGCACACCGTCGACGGTGTCACCGGGCGCGGTGCAGATGTACACAATGCCATCACATCCAGGCGGTTATCATACGTTGCCGCACAATCATCATCATCAGCAACAGCAGCAACAACAACATCTGCAACAGCAACAGCAACAACAACTACAGCAACTCCAACAACAAGCACTGCAACAACACAATTCGTCCGCCTCGTCCATGTTACAAATAATGGCGGCCGCAGGAGTTGTGCACGGCACCGGTGGCAACATTTATCACCATCATGGCACGCTGCCAATGCCACCCACATATCAGCAGCATCAACAGCAACAGCAGCAGCAACAACAACAACAGCAGTTGCAGCAACAACAGGTGACAGGCCAAATGCTGGTTTCGAGTAATAGCAGCGGCCTCGGCTCCACTACAGTAACAGCGGCTGTGACGAGTCCGAGTAGTTCGCTGTCGGGTCTCTCTGCCATCGGCAAATCGTACTCGCGTGAAATCGTTACAGTGCGAACGCCGTTGATGTATTCTCAACAGGAGAGCTGCGTTTAAGAAGTGTGTGAGCAGAGCATATAGTAAAACATGTATTGTACTTTCATAATCGGAATTTAATTACTGCTTAAGAGACTGGGTGAGATTTGAGGAAATTGAAAAGTATAACTTACATAAACTTATGAAATGAGTCTTACGAAAATTAGTTTTGAAAAACATAATCGGCAAAAACGTGATATTTAATCATTTCTCTTTAAAAATTTCATAATTTTTTTAGTATCTTTTAAAATCAATAATTTCTAATTACCATACTTTTGCTTATTTAGCCAATATGACATATATAAGCAGATTTTCTAAATTTCATTAGAAATATTTTTACATTTTTTTAATATTATTTTCAACTTTTGAGTCAATTCTAGAATACTCGCTATTTATTGTAATTGTACTTGCATATCCTTAATTAAATTAATTATCATAAATATGCTACAAATATTCCAAAGAGGGTTGTGCGCTATGCATGTAAAGAAATATATACTTCGCGCATTTAGGTATGAAATAAATTGTACTTTTTTTACTAATTGAGCTAACTGAAAAAACTAAGTAGTGAATAAAGCAAGTAAATATGTATATTTGTGTAGGAAGATTAGCTGAAGAGGAATGTAAATAATTATGAAATTTTTTCCAACCCTAAATAATGACAAATACTTAGTTAATTAGTAAAATTTGAATAAAAGCACAGGAAATTATATTAGCTAGTGATTAAGATTCCCTTAAGAAAACATAAGATTCTATTTAGATATGTAGATAAAGATATTGAAAAAGAGCAAGATAAAGAGTCCACTAAAATATTAAACATAAGTGAAAATAAAGAATAACGAACTGATAACATTTGAATTAAATTTCTTTAGAAAAAGCACTCAACTCACTGCAAGCGATTTTACATATCTGAAGTGTGTTTTGGAATATTTTTAAGAAAACTTGTCATTTTCACACGCCATTTAAATTTGGAATTTCAGAGATTTATATGTCTGTTCAGCTTGAATATAATATTTTCCTTGAGTTACAGCCTTTGAATAGGCATTTCAACGAAACAATATCATATCTAACAGTACATTAGCATTTGTTTCACCAATAAGCATGTTCAAATTGACTTATTACATAAAATGGGTGCTATTTTGGACAGAAACTCAGATCTAAAAAAACAACATGATTTAATAAAACAAAACTATTCACCTAGACATACATATGTATGTTTCAATAAATGTCTGTCCACAATATCTGAATGTCTTCAAAAGTGTTTTTTCTAGCACAACAAAAAACTATGTAAATCAAAACAATCACCAGCCCAAGTACTCACCACAAACACCATGAAAATACCTTCAACACACAAAATGCGAAATGGAAATGGAATTGATAAAAAACATGACAAAACGTTTCTCCTGTAATGTTCATAGCGCCAACGTATTTTTGTAAAAAGAATAACGAAGAAAACTGTCGACTTGGCAAAATGAAATATATAAAAAGATTTAAATCGAATAAATAAAACATTTTAAGAAACCATAAATTAAAATCTAATAAATACAATAAAATCAAATCAAAGGAAAAAAAATTAAAAAATAAAAAAAATAGTAAAGTAAAATGAGATGAAATTAAATGTTTTGAAATGAAACTTAATGAAATTAAATGAAATAAAAAAAAAAAAAAAATAAAATAAAATAAAACAAAATGAATAACAAAAAAAAAAACAATAAATTAAGAGAATATAAGATAAGAAATTAAATATAACAATAAATAATTAATTAAAGAATAAGGTAAAATAATATAAAAAAATTTAAAAATAAAATAAAAAAAGATTAAACTAAAATTATCTTAAATTCAATAAAATAAAATAAAGTAAAATAAAAAAATATAAACTAAATCAAATACAATAAAAAAATAAATAAAAAAAGGAAAATAAAATGAAACGAAATTAAATGTTTTGATGTGAAATAAAACTTAATGAAATTTAATGAAATAAAAAAAAATTAAATAAAATAATCAAATTAAATAACATAAAAAATAACATAATATAAAACGATTAAAATAAAAAGGATAAATTAAGAGAATGTAAGATAAGAAATTAAATAAGTAATTTATTAAGAAAATAAAGTAAAATAATATAAAAAATCACATAATAATAATAAAACAAGATTAAATTAAAATTAAATTAAATTCCATAAAATAAAATAAATTAAAATAAAATAATATAAAATAAAATAATATAAAGTAAAGAAAAATGAAATAAAATTAAATGTAATGAAGTGAAATGAAATAAAACGTAATGGAATGAAATGAAAAATAAAATAAACTAAACCGAAATAAAATAAAGTAAAATAAAATAACAGAAATAAATAAAAAAAATAAAATAAAATGAAATAAAATATCACTAAATAAAATCAAATAAATTAAGAGATAGTAAGATAAAAATATAGAAAATTATAATAATAATTAAAATTAAAATATATTAAAATAAAATAATATGAAAAATAAAATCACATAAAATTAAGTTAAATATAAAAAAACTAAATAAAAGTAAAAATAATTAAATTAAATAAAATTAAAAAAATTAAGTGACTCAAAATAAAAATAAAAACTAAAGAAAAGGAAAATGGAATGAAATTAAATGTAATGAAATGAAATGAAATAAAATAAAATAAAGTAAAAAAATAAAATGAAATAAAATAAAATTAACAAAATAAAAATAATTAAATAACTTAAAGCAAAATAAACTATATTAAAATATAATAAAATAAAGTGAAATAAAATGAAATAAAAAAACTTAAAATGAATTAATTAAGATGAAATAAATTAAGAAACAGTAAGATAAAAAAATATAAATTTTATATATAACCAAAAATAAAACCAGTGCAATAAAATCAAGTTTAATAAAATAACATGAAATAAATTAAAGCAAATTAAAATACAATGAAACTGAATAAATGAAAATAAAGTTGTAAATAATTGTGTATTTATTTTGTTCATTTGTACATAATTCACCCATTCTTTGTGATTGCATATTTCGATATCTGGTGTGTATGTATATATTCATGGTCTGGAAGCACTAGTTTACTAAGAAATTTTAAATGAAAAGTTACCCACTCAAAAGTATTGTAAATAGATCAATCAAACAATTCCACGTACGGAAATATAAATACCAAGTATTCTCATTCAACATATTATATTGCTAATTATTTTGTTCGCACACTCATACATATTCACATTCTCACATTTACACGTATGTATGTACATAAACACAAAATAAAGATTTTTTTAACGCGCACACTCTCTTACAAACATAACTCGTTCAATATTATGATCATGTTCAATGGAAACTTATTCTCGGCCAATTGCCAGTACTTTTAAAATGTATGCGTAATACATAAAAGAATCGGAAGGAGTCAGCTATTGAAAATTAGGTATCTCAGATGCTCAGTTACTTACGAGCAGTTGGAATTTAACATTTTTTCATTTCATTCTATTACTTTTGTACTGTTTAATTTATGTAGAAATATGTATATATGTTCTTGAAATATCAGATAGTTGAAAAAATCATGATAAATGAATTATTTTTTCAAATTCTTACAAAATTTTTTAAAAGAAAAATTTTTACCTTCAAAAAAATTCAAATGAAGTTATGTTTTTTATACCATCCCATGCAGGAAAACAAATACCATAGAGTGTGAGAAAAATCTCTTTAAGGTATTCCACTTGTCTCACGAAATGTTTTAGGTAAATTTAAAAAAAAAATATGCAAATTTATTTGGTGTTCACCTGTGTGTTTTTGTATGTGTGTCTTCGAAATGATATGTAGTGAACAGTGTGTCAATTGCGCACGAATAAATGTATCAATGTGCAAGCACAAGAATGCAGCCCTCTTAAGGGCATCATTCCCAACAAAATATAAATACAGAGCATAAGCTAATTTTTGAAAGAAATTGTATATATGTAGAGTAAGAAATTCTTGTATAAAGTTGTATTATAAAATTTAAATTCTCAAATAGCGTAGAAGTATACCAAAAGCAAAAGTAATAAATAATTTTATTTAAATCAATTTCATTAAATTTTTAGGAAATCTAAATTAATACAAGTTAAAATTCTTCAACACTCAAGAAATTAAAGAAAAACCATAAAAACTAATGTAGATTAAAAAGAGAAATATGTAAAACAACTGAGACCTAATGAAAACTAAGCAGATAATATAGCTATAAGTAAACTAATTTTAATTGAAATTTCAAAAAAGTTCACTCTTTGTAATTTATGTACTATTTACTTGTCACTCAAGTTGCAGCTAACGAATAAACATGCATGAGAATGGGCTGTTACATAACTGTTTATATGTAATGATGAAATGAATTTTATGAATTCAAAGAGCTCACAACGGCAAAACGTAATCAAATACTAAGAAAAATATCTTACGTTACTTTAAGCACTATCCAGAGAAAAAAAATTGTTAAGTGATAAATCTACATATATATATACATAGATATATAAACCACAGAAATAATGGTACATAAATAAGGAGTGAATAAGTTGAGAAGAACAAAAACTAAATAACAAAAACAGGAGGCAAATTTGAAGAAATAAAATCTCAATGAATATTGCAAACAAAACCATAATTTTTTTTTATTTACTCGCAGGTAAATATGGTAGTATGATTGTCTACTTAGAAAGTCCTTTAAAATAACTAAACCACTCGCTTTTCGAATTTTATATATTATATTTGTACAAACGTTTATTTCAAATTAGTTAATTCAAAATATTTGAAAGTTTTCACGTTCACATGATAACGGCTTTTTTGTGTAACTGCTATAAAGGTCTCTATGTATGTGTATGGAATATACATATAAATATTAAATATAGTTAAATTTAATTTTAAATATTTTTACCTCACGCCGACTCGTCGGTAAATTGCTTAGAAACCTCGTCGATAGTGTTTTTTTTCTCTGTTTATTTAAGCTTTGCTACAGCAAGCAGGGATTCACCCCAAGAATGTGGTGACCAGCATTGTTTTAAGGGGCACAACAGCTAGTGGGAGAATTCCAAAAAAATCGATCTTTTCACATTTTGGTAGATTACACCTTTAAAAATAACATATTAAAATTTCAAATCGATATCTCAAATAGTTTTTGAGTTATAGCAATTTAAAGAGCAGCCACTCGGCAGCTAGAAAGTCTCATTAGTTACGAGTGAAAACGATCATTTTATCTTTAAACGCGTCTTTCTCGGGCAGCATTTTCCGAACTTGCTGCAGAGATTTCTCGAAAACAAATGATCCAATCACTATCAAATGTTTTTTACATGTTCTATATATAGTTCTCCGTACAATGACCTATCGATTTTTGATCTGATCAAAAAATCGAATTTCGGCAGGACAAAAGCGACCAAAATTTTGAGTAAAATTCAACTATTTTTTTTTAAACGCCGCCACATTGTCAATTTTTGATTTTTTTTTATCGCAGGTTATTGTACAGACAATATTATTAGCAGAGAATTTTTTCTATATTTCTTCCACGGAGAAGTACGGAATCACTGCAGCAGTGAGGGAACTTTTTTTTCGTGCCGGTGAAGATCGACTATAACTTGAAAAATATTTAATTTTTTTCGTCAAAAATTTCACTGTATATTCTTGAAACATGTTTAAATATATTCTTGAAATTTTTTTTTTTAATAAAAATTCCCAAAAATCACATTTTTTTAGGCCATTGCACTAGGTGTGCCCCTTAAGCGCATGCTCAAGCAGTGGTCACCGTTTCTCCTCTTACTAAACTATATTGGTTAATGTGGCGTGAAAATA